TGTATGATATGGATCAGTGTGATGTTTGTATATAACACCTTGTTACAGTATGATATAGATCAGTGTGATGTTTGTATATAACACCTGTCTACAGTATGATATGGATCAGTGTGATGTTTGTATATAACACCTTGTTACTGTATAATATAGATCAGTGTGATGTTTGTATATAACACCTTTCTACAGTATGATATGGATCAGCGTGATGTTTGTATATAACACCTGTCTACAGTATATAACACCTGTATACAGTATGATATGGATCAGTGTGATGTTTGTATATAACACCTGTCTACAGTATGATATGGATCAGTGTGATGTTTGTATATAACACCTGTCTACAGTATATAACACCTGTATACAGTATGATATAGATCAGTGTGATGTTTGTATATAACACCTTGTTACAGTATGATATAGATCAGTGTGATGTTTGTATATAACACCTGTCTACAGTATGATATGGATCAGTGTGATGTTTGTATATAACACCTTTCTACAGTATGATATAGACCAGTGTGATGTTTGTATATAACACCTTTCTACAGTATGATATAGACCAGTGTGATGTTTGTATATAACACCTTTCTACAGTATGATATAGATCAGTGTGATGTTTGTATATAACACCTGTATACAGTATGATATGAATCAGTGTGATGTTTGTATATAACACCTGTCTACAGTATGATATGGATCAGTGTGATGTTTGTATATAACACCTTGTTACAGTAGGATATGGATCAGTGTGATGTTTGTATATAACACCTTTCTACAGTATGATATGGATCAGTGTGATGTTTGTATATAACACCTTTCTACAGTATGATATGGATCAGTGTGATGTTTGTATATAACACCTTGTTACAGTATGATATGGATCAGTGTGATGTTTGTATATAACACCTTTCTACAGTATGATATGGATCAGTGTGATGTTTGTATATAACACCTTTCTACAGTATGATGTGGATCAGTGTGATGTTTGTATATAACACCTTTCTACAGTATGATATGGATCAGTGTGATGTTTGTATATAACACCTTTCTACAGTATGATATGGATCAGTGTGATGTTTGTATATAACACCTTTCTACAGTATGATATGGATCAGTGTGATGTTTGTATATAACACCTTTCTACAGTATGATATGGATCAGTGTGATGTTGGTATAGGACATAGCTTAGTAACGATCTGTGTACGGGAACTTATCTATACTACTGACTCAAACGTCACAAGTAGGCACGTTATATCACATGATGGGAAATGTTATCAACTTAGACGGTTTACGCGCATCATCAGAAAAGTTGGGGTTTTTTTATTTCAAGAAGTGGGCGGAAGGTAAAATGAAAGATAACACAGAAAATCCATTAAAAGATACAAAATGATAACGCAAGAATCATAACGTCAAAATAAATAAGTTTTGTTAGAGATAGGTAGGTGTCATTGTTAAGTACATGTTATCTGTTCATTTTCATTTAGGGTTTTTAGAAAAGAATCGCATGTTTTAATATCGAGTTAGAAAAAAAAATCAATATAATCAATTGGTGATAGTAAACTATATAAGTATGTCACAATTGTGCACCTTTACTAATATATAGGGGTCATTATTGGAAACAGAGGAATACGACGTAATAATATTTTGTAAGGAATTCACCATATCATACAGTTAAAATCTTAGTGTGAGGTTCTACCGTCATTACGATATAGAACAGATCTAAGTGATTTCTGTTTTGTAGAAGGTTCTTTGTTTGAAATGTCACATTAGACCTCTATCCATTATCTAAAGGGTTTTCAAATTAGTATATAACTAACCTGATGGTAGACTGTTATTCTGCATCCAGTTCAAGCAGTCAGCTCCTGTCAGCAGTTCGTTATGCAATAGTAAACTTTGTTCCTTAAGGCCCCAATACACTTGCCATTGCAAGGAAAAGATAACCTCAAGTTCAACACTGCGATCACATCACTGTAATCATATATTTGTTTAAATTTCCCAGTAAGTTTATAAATAAATGATTTTTTTAAAATTCAGTTAAGATAGATTAAAAGCACATGTATGTCGATTGATGTCGTTTCTGAATACAAAGCGATTTTCTTTTTTGTCTACATCAGTGGAATATATTTCATAATTTGACCATACTGTATTTTATCTAACTTTGTAGTGGAAATATTATACATTTGAATGTCTATTGTACAATCGCTGATGTTGCGCGTGCCATGCTGATGAACTTCTAAATTTATCATGAATAACACGTTTTAGGTTTGTTTTACAGGGAACTAACATATTGTAACAGAAATATTTTCCATTCTTAAGCAGCACTTTGTTTCAGTTTATTGAAAACAAGAATGTCTTTCAGAAAAAGAAAGTTGTTGCCAAACTTTTGTCTTATCTTCTTCCTTCCATTCTTTGTACAAGCAGAATTAAGGATTTATTGGGATACTGTTTATTCATGAAATTGATTTTAAAGAACTCCAGAGAGGTCTTGAGTAATCTTCAAAAACTATTTCTTCTATAAGAACGTTTGATTTTTCTACCATACACAATCTAAACTTAAAGAATGCCTTCGTTCTCGGTTATAAAAGTTTTCAAAAATGTTGAACGATGTTCCCCTATTGGTTTTGTTTTATTTCGAAACGATTATCAGAACAGGTCACAGAGTCCCTCAATGGCACTTTCAGATATATTGATGACGTGTTCTCTTAAAAAAATTGCAAGATAATTATTGACTACTTCCATCATATCCACCCACCAGAATCGGAAATCAGGGACACGGCAGACTCCTCTACATCAGTCGCTACCTCGAACTTTTCCTAAAACTAAAACAAACTTCGGTAGCATTTTACCAATTTCAAGATAGAAAAAAAAATCCCTACATTTTATGTCTTTAATATGTAGTAGTTGATTCGATACTCAAGGGCCTGTTCCTAATATCAAAAAGGCAACCGACAGACCAGCTCACAACACAGGTTCTCGAGGAATGCAATATGCTGAAAATTATGGGGTTTTTTTACGGTCGTCATAGTGATCCCGTTGAGAAATTTTCAAATTCGTTGTGCGACATAAATCTGAACACGTTCGGAATCGAGAGTTTTCTCCCTTTCCATCTATTCAAGACATTGAAAGGAACAAAACTTCGTTGAATCCTTTGATGACTCAATTTTCCCATTCATTCCTGTCTGCTATACCATCTATATAAATCTGGTGCAGTTCCATATACATGCACGACTTAACCTAACAATATCTACTTTGAAGGATCAGATGTCATTCACTTTGATGTTTAGATCGTAGAACTATGGTTCCAGGACAGATATGTACCAAAGACTAAACGTGTACATTACATCATGACTATAACGAAACGTGAAACCATACAAATGACTTCGACAAAAAAAACCGTATACCATTTTTAATCGTGAAATCAACACGTCAATTGTTTCGTTGGAATACGCTTTCTATAGCATGTAGTCTGTTAGATTGATGATACTTTTACCATCCTTTTCGAAAAGATATATTGATATTATGTAATATACGTATGTGATTGTTTTGTTATGCATTGTAAGTGAACTATCATGTCGTTAGGCTCCGTCATTGGTAAACAAAGAACTCTCTCTATAACGAAAAAAAGTAGAAAATTAGAAAAAAAAACTAACAACGGCGACAACCATTGTCCTAGTACAAGATTCTCCATACAAGAACTGTCTAGATCAACACGAGTTACTAACTAATTATACATAATTTAGGTATATCATGATTGTACATGCCTCATTATGGAGCAAGGTCCTTCTCGAGACTCTCCTTGTACAATTTATATCAGATAAGGTACTACAATAGGCCATCTACACTACATAATCCAGTTAATGCATTCCGTGTTATCTATCTTATCCCTGTAAACATACCACGTGATTTTCTCATTTACGTCTCAGAGAACACGATTACGTTATCACCGTATGATATGAAGCATTTTTTTTAATCGTCGGCGATGGTCGTTCAGATGACCGTGGATATATTTTGCACTAGTTTCAGTTTGAATTTAAATGAGGATTATGCTAACATGTCGGTATTTTCTTTGTTGTTTTTAATCCTCTCGATAACCATTAAAGGAAAATATCTACCTGATTACAATACTACAGTACTTTGATACCAAATTGCTCAGTTGTGTAAAAGTCATGATGTAATAATCATTTTGTTCAGTTAAGTACATTATAATCAGCCACATTTGCTGTATCTAATATTCAGACTTCATATACTTTTTCACAAGGTAATAACATGTCATATAGGGTAATTTTCAACTATCACGTGTCTCAAACTTTGACGATCAAAATCTATTTCTGTTATACAGAGAAAATTAGAAAAAGTATAAATGTTTTTGTTGTAGAGAATCTACATGCATTGGCATGATATCAATCCAATTTTAATACACTGGCTTTCCCGAATTTGTATACCGGCATCGTTACAACAGAGGGAGCAAATCTAGTATTGCAGATCCCGACTAAGGATATGTTTTTACAAATACACAGTATCATGAAAACCATCATAAGCCATGTTTAAAAAAGATAGCATGGAATAAAGATAATAGTGCAAATCTAAATTTTGTGAGGTAATTGGGCAGAGTTAGCTCCGATTGGAACTTCCTCCAGCAAATGTTGAAGACGGTTATTATAATCCTAGACGTGACACTATATCTTAATGCTATATTTTCTTTGTCAATGTTAAATATTTATTACTGACAACAAATTTCTTCCTGTATTGTTTTATTAGAATTTTATGAGATATTGCATCATGCATGCTCTTATGCTATGTATTAACGTTGTTCCCTAGCAACTGGAACAACATTTATTGCTTGTATACTTAGACGAAAGTCATTTGTGGTGCCGCTCATTATGTATACATTTATGAAAAGGACTATAGGTCAGCCTACTGTTAATGCATATCCCAATATAGACTAAAGTGCAGCCTACTGTTAATGCATATCCAAGTAGAGACTGTAGTGGAGCCTCGTTGTGGGTTAAATCTGATCATACTGAAAAAACCTGTTGTACTGTCCGTAGTCATCGTTATCTTAGTAAACATTTTGTCCAATACAATACCGTGTATATACATATATATTATGTGCAACATAATGATACAAACAGGAGCCACTGCAACAAAATCAGAAACATCCGAGCGTGCGATGTTCTATCTTCATTAGTTACGTACATTCTGAAAATGAAAACATATTATTATTATTATTGTTGTTGATACTATTTTAATGAATTTCAATACAAAAAAAAAAAAAAAAAAAATTAATGAAGATTATTGCTTCATTTCATGAAACAGGACAATGATAATGACAATGATGTGAATGTGGAAATCAGTTTGAAAATCACAGTCATTTTCTGTGTACATTTTCAATTTCAGTAGGTTTAAGAAAAAAATGCAGTGGTTTACCTTCATGCAGTGTCACAGATCTGTCAGTCATACCGACGTCGTTATAAATCTGTACAGTGTAGCGTCCGTAGTCCTTGTCCTCGAATGACGTCACTCTCAGCCTCGTTATGGTTCCGGTTTTCTCCACCGCTTCTCCATTGGACGAGACCACAATGTCAATGTCATTGTTGACGATGTGATATTTCAACGAGTCGTTAGTTACTTCCTTGTCATCTTTTAACCATCTGATGTTTTGATAGCCTGATGAGGAATAGAAAGTAGTCGACATTTCTCCCGTTTTGTTTGTGACATACGCAGTCAATTGCCCTAATACCGAAGGAAGACCTGTGAAGGATAATAACACAATGTACGTCTTTGTTCGACAACAAAGGAATGGCTCAACACACTAGGAACATAATAAAATGGTTAATATGGTGAAGTTAACAAAACGATCCTACTGCTCTAGTTAAACTTTGAATATTTGTTGATGAAAAGAAAATGATATGATGATTTTCACAAGAATGTGAAATTTGTTTCACTGCAATCACAATATTTTTGTTTAATTCAAGATTTTAAAAGTTCTAATCATGTGAATAAACAAAAAATCTGTAGAACTTAAAATTTTGGAACCCTTCTTAGATTGCAGAAAATGTCAACTCTACCTACCGTCTTGGACCTGGCCATTTACTGTGATGGAAAAATTGACCAGAAATGTCAAATGTTAATTATTTACGGACTTACGACAGCAGTAAAAATATAGAAACACAAAAAGGTTCAAGCAATATAAGTCAAAACTTGTTGTTACGGAAGTTTGAGTGATCATGAAAAAACCATATGTGACACATAAGGTGATATTGGTTTTAATATTGAAGAGCTTACTCCGCTCGTGGGAAGAAAACGTCACTGGAATTACTGCTTGTCCCGCCCTGTTTGTCACTACTAAGTCATATATCCCATAATCCTCCGCTGATATACAATTAATTATTAAGATGGATGAAACCGTGTCCTCTTTCTGTGCCACAAGGTTGGAGTCTGTCGGTTGGTTATTCTGGATCACATACTTGCTTAAGGAATGACTTTCGATGATTTCCTGGTTCCGGAAGTACCATTTGACACGGAAGTCAAAATGATAGGAAGAGAATGTCACATTAAGAGTTGCAGAACTTCCATCAAATGAGACGCTGATATTATTAGAAGTAACTGGATTGGCTGAAAAATAAATAAACATAATTGAACTCTCCTTTTTTTTTTAGATATCTTATGAAAGGCGATTAAAAGTTAAAGACAAAAGACCGTTTTTCATCGCGGGACTGATTAATCGTTTTAGCTGATATATTTTCCCGATTTTATTTATGCCCGAAGTCATAAATATTGAACAGCCAGCACATCTTAAATTATTTTGTTATATACCCATTCTGCTAATGCATTTTTCCAAATCACAGTTTATGGCATCAAAAGAATAATGGTAAATGATAAAATGTGCAAATTGTTGTTACAGTAACGCAATACGATCTTAAATTTAAAAAAAAAACAAACAGAAGTTTACTAATTGTATCTTCAGGCTTCATACGTGTGAACAAAGTATTTATCACAACTGCTGCTAATGGATGCCAGACACTTTACAAACTTCGTATTCATCAGCTCTCATTACGACAGACTGTTAACGGACACGCTGTTGCGATGCCGATTTGTACATACCATACACCGGATTTTCAATATTGATGACGTGCTCGGAACTCCCAATGACGTTAGAGATTATTATCTTATATATCCCATAATCCCTCGCGCTTGGTAAGTACACACTCATTGAAGTCACGTGTCCCGAACGACCAAATGTCTTGCCATGCATTTGTAGATTCACATCAAGCGGTTGTGTTTCTATGACGTCGTGTAGTGTTGAAAGAATCTTGCGACCATTTCGATACCACGTGACTCGATGATGGGGAAGATGTGAATAGAATGGTACATCTATACGTAAGAAGTCACTTTTGGAGTGTATTGTTGGTTCCAGTATAACAGGCGTAGCTGGAGGATCAAACATAGGTAAAAGATTGATTTACTTCAAACTATTTATTTTTCATTGTTAACCAGCACCTGGTTACTAACAATGTCATGTGATGCGTGACGTCAAAGTGTTACTTCGGCGATAGCAAGCTTCTGTTGACCTAATATGATACACCTACACACGTCATGTCTATATCCATTCATTCACCTTCAGAATTGCTAGCTTCAAAATTAAAGCCCTTGATATCACCTAGCCATAGAACATAGAACAGTTGTATGATGTTTACTGCATTTTCTGGCTAACAGCAGGTAACAATGAACCGTTCTACAAACTCATCCCTGAAGACAAAATTTATGGAATATTTGTTGTTCACCTGTCCGTTTTAATTAGATAACGCAATAAACATCTATGCTACAAAAATGAAAACATACCTCCTCTAATATCGTCACAGGCATTTCAACCTAGTCTCATGAAGAGATATAAACGCCAAGGCAAATATACCCTATAAAGCAGGCGGATAAATAACTTCTTTTTTCAAACTTCATATTGACAAACAATTTTATTATCTTTTAATCAACACATCAGAAATCAAATCACTGACGAACACAACTGCCCGATTTTCATCAAAAGCAATAATCAGGTTTGTGCATTTATTGATAACAGAAGTCTCTAAATCTCGGTTAGTAGTATTAACGTTTCTGTTCATCAGTTACTTTTGATGATTGTTTTTTTCATTTAGCATTCATTAGTATATGTATATTCGATGAATTTGACTACAAAATAGTAACAGAGATTCAGCTGAAGTCAAATTCATGACAGAGACCTTAAGTTTCAAAATAGCTGAATGAGTTAAGGATGTAATAGATATTTACAGAACAATTCTTGACAATTAAAAAATCAATGGTTTCAGTTTAACAGTTATGCTAAGTAGAGATGCTTCTTACCTCTCACAGTAAGTGTTGTTCTTTCATATCTAATTGCTACGTCATTTCCGGTGTCTTCTTCTTCAGCTATACACGTGTAGGTACCTGCATCCGGGTACATACACATAGGAATTGTTAGTGTATTCACTGTTCCATCTTGATCACCAGGAAGATTTCTGATGACGTCTCCATCGATGGAATGGACCCAAGATTGGACAGTTGGAGAACAGGAAGTGACGTTGCACACGAGTCTAATTGTATCTGCCTGGTCACAGGTAGCAAAAGGGAAAACTGAAAATAGATAATCGTCATGATATTATGATCGTGATTTTGTTTATATTGTTTGTTTTGAAGACTCATTTTGGTTTCTTTGTTGTTTTTTACATTTTTTATTTTTTCAACTTTTTCATTACATATAAAAACATTGCATTAAACACTAAACACACTCGCGGTATTTTATCTGTGTTTTTTTAGCTTATTCATCCACAAATACATCATCATTATCATCATCATGCCCTAAACACAATTATCCTCAATAACTTTTCATCATATTCATAATAACACCAGTGTCGGCATCATTATGATAAAAATTAATGTATCTCTATGAAGACATCAGTGACCTCAGTACACCAAGAGAGAGAGAGAGAGAGAGAGAGAGAGAGAGAGAGAGAGAGAGAGAGAGAGAGAGAGAGAGAGAGAGAGAGGAGAGGGGGGGGGGGGGGGGGGGGGAGAATAAAAAGCTGATCAAAAATAAACAAGGTAGTAAATTTGATTAAATGGTTGTTGTGTACGGTATATGTAACACAGGGAGATAATACATGAAATACAGTGAATTCTATATATAACTATAGTTATGATATACTTTTATTGATATAACTTTGACCAAGGATGTGATCTTAGATAGTATTCACGAGTCCATGGAGGGCTGATGATTTGCTAGGTATCTGTTTTTGTAAATACAAAATTTAATAATAATAGGGATTTCTTTATCAACTGGATTACAATTACAAAACAATATTCTTTGTTATATTTGTTATATGTAAAAGGCATTTAAAATCCCATTTTCTTACATCTTCCCCAAAATTTAAAAAAAAACTATTTTTTATTATAAAATCCCAAGAGACTGAATCGAAAGCTTTTTCAAAATCAATTAACATTGACATACCTAGAAGTTGTGTTCCTCTGCATTGTGTCATAAACTGTAGGAATGATTTCCCCTATATACCGCCTTGCTAAAAATCTGATCCCCACTGAAAATATTTCTCAAAATGTTTTAATCCTACGTGATATTTACACACAATATGCATAAGTAAAATTTGACAGAGAAATTGGTCACCATTTTTATTAAATGACGTGGTTTATCTCCCTTTGGAACACATGTTGTTATAGCATGTTGTTGAGTTCCCGAAAAGTGTCCAACTAAATAACTATAAACTATAGAACGTTCTACAAAATATCCAATATAATTTCAAAACAATAAAAAACATTCTGTTGTAAAGTCATATAAGCCATATTTTTCCCGGCGTCCTCAACTGTCACGTCTTCCTCTAAACTCTGAGATTCTGCATAGCTTTACATTACAATTTTGCGGATAAATATTCAAATTAGCATTGTTTACAATCCTATTCTTATAAAATATTTTCAAAAAAGGACTCACCACTGTGTTTGTAATTGTGTCATTTTCTTTTGAATTTTAGGTATAAAAAACATGAAGTAGGTTTACCCCTTCCTATAGTCATCCAGCTCTAGCTCTAATATACGACATTCTATTTTTCCTAAGCGAATCGATTCTAGTTTTTTTTCTCCAGTTTCTCCGAACTGGAAGAAAAGAAGAGAAAACTGTAGAAGTTCTATATGAAAAATGAAACAAAAATGAGAAACGAGAAAGAAAGAATCTATGAAAAGAGAAAGAAAATTAAAACAAATAATATGTGGTCAGCGGGCGTGAATAACTACTCTCAACTCACGCCATGACCCACGAGTACACACCAAACAGGAAGAACGCGATCTGAACCGGAAGTCTACTAAAATACCATCAGGTTCCGGATATAATATAGCATTGTCTGTCATTAAAATTGTTGTAGTTAAATACAACTTGATACATTATTATTGATCGTCATTATATATATATAAGAATTCAATAATATACACATCAAGAATATTTTAGAGTAGTATGTTGATTTTTTCTACATGTTTTAAGACCATAAACAAAACCTAAACACGAACATATCAGGAAGAAGCATCCTTCATACGCATTCCGCTCATATCACAGAAATGGACGACCAGTAGTTCTCAACATCTCATCATCCCAGGATATTCACTTGATAAATTATTATTTTTGACAAAAGTCCAAGAGCGTTATTAATCAGAAATGTGAATTAAAATGTAAAGAATATCATATTTTACACCCTGATTTACTTTTATCTTCAAAATGTATTTTACAAGTTGACATATTCGTCATATTGTAAGTTTTCGAGGAAATCTAAAAGTCAAAATTTACTACACCTGACGTTCATATACAGGCTTGATATATACATACGTCCTAAATGATTTAAAGATTTTGAAATATGAAGAGGGAAATATGACTGTCGTGATTGTAGCAAGATTTTCTTTAGATATTATATCTTAATTTTGTCTTCAAGATACTCTCTAATCGCTTGCAGTTCATTCAGGACCCAATGTTTATGTACAAGTAGCTAGTGCTTACACGGGTTGTGGTCATCACAAAGCGGAAGTTTATTAACATGGAAGGAGAATATATTCCATTATATTTGAAAAAAAGACAAATAGTTGTGTAAATACACATATTAATTTTGATTTACATATCAACAAAAAGTAATCTGCTCCAAAACATTGTGTATATATATATATATATATATGTGTGTGTGTGTGTGTGTCCTGTGTGTAGTGATGTGTGATTATATATATATATATATGTGTGTGTGTGTGTGTGTGTGTGTTAATTATTAACATCTGAATACTGGCATATATTTCCAAAACTCTAATTTCCAATATTAAAGTTACAAGTTGACCTGATGTTATATCAACCAATTACGTAAGTGAACATACGTTTTGTTAAACAATCTTTATATAGAAATAAAAAAAAACTAGAGAAAAACAACAATGTAAAGACATTGTAATTTACGGGATTCTTTTTTTTAAATCAAAATCCAATTACATATCATCACTAACATGACGTTTATTACATGAACACACTGTTAACACAGAGACCGATATGGGCTATATGTGCCTGCCCGACCGTACCGACCTTACTGGTTAAAGTGCAGTGCTTTCTGTACTTTTCTCATTTTTTCTTGTTTCGCTGCAATAGTACTTCTATGATATTTTTCTTGTCGTCACATTTTCTTGTAGGACATTTCTAAAACATATTTTCTTCAATATGTTTATTGTATATTGTTTAGTATTAAATAAAGTGGACTGCTATAATATCAGAATAATTTCATTTCTTTCATTATGCTTGTCTCAAAACGTACTTGTAATAATTGTATTCTTATTAGCATTTGCAGTTATGGCATCATACGCCGTGCTTAAAATAAGACGTTTTCCTGTGCCGATTTCAATATACTTACTTAAGATACATTATATATTCAATACTATGCGACAAATTGTAATGTCAAACACTTATTTATAAGCTCTGAGTGTTGAAAATAAATACTCTAAACCTAACACAGACCACTATTTCCATATTCCTGATGGTCAATGAAAATTAAGATGACTAAACCAGAAATATCATAATGCTTCAATTCCTATTTACATGTAAATACCTTTCATCCATATTTCCGCTCTATTAGTTTACTGAAATGTAAATACTTTACTTGCTATTTGCATCAATTGCACTCTAAGATGTGTTGTATTTATGTTTAAAAAGAGGGATTTAACATTCCATAATGTTCAAAGAATAAAGATAGACTTGTGTACGCTAAAAACATTATATGAGCCAATTCTAAGTGGTCACTATTGTTTTTAACAACTTCTATTGATGAAGCCCTAAACAGAAATATCAGATGGTTACTTTCCTGTTACCTTCCATCGCTGTTAGGTCGATAACATGGTCCGCTATTCCAGCGTCATTCTTCAGGACAACATGATAGATACCCAGATCCTCCACTGATGCATCAGATATAGCCAACAGAGCCGAGTAATTGGCATTAGGATAAGTGAACGTTCTGTTGCTACCAATAGATGGATACTGGTATCTATCGTTAAACATTTTTCGATTTCTCGGTAATCCTGACACATTCGATTGAGATGGATATCCGTACGCTAACCATTCCGACGACGAGATTCCCTTCCAAGTCAGTTCCGGAACGTACTTGTCAGAATTGTCTAACTGGACATCGTTACGGTACCATGTTGTCGCTGGATATGCGATATTGGACTCAAAATTCACTGACAGAATGATACTGCCTTTTTTAAAAGCCACATCTGAAGGTGGTACCAATAATTTTGGAAGTTCTACAATATTACGTTAAAGACAGGATGGATCAGGTTCAACAACAATAAATAAAAAGTACAAACAAATAGTGAACAAGGAAACAATTTATAGACAAACACTGATTAGATTAACGTCTGATCTTTTGCCTTGTATTAATGTAGGTCATTTCGCTATTTGGCTCTACTTCATCTAACTCTAAATTGGTATTAACAGGTGCTTTCGCTTATATGTCGTTTGTACAGTCTTTTGACAATCGATACTTTTTAAAACCCAATACATGAAATCCTTTCAAAGGTAATGATATCCTTTATTAGAGATCTAGAAAACTACAAAATAATTCCGATTTACCTGTTTCGGGAAAGTCTGCATTAACAGAGATCTTAGCTGCTCCGAAATCGTTCTTGATGACGCATGTGTATTCTCCAAAATCAAGTTCTGTGAGAGTCCCATGATTTAGCATTGATACATATGTTGCCTCATTTCCTCCATCATCCAAACTTAGAGCACGTTCTGTGATTATAGTAACGTGACTTCCGGAAATAAGAAAGTGTTGTGCTTTGTACCATTCAACCTATTGTATCAACAAAAGTCCATTTTAATAATGACGAGTGAACAAGAAAAAATCATCATATTGTTTGTTGAATTACTTTACCAAAGTCTGACGAAAGAACTAAAGAAAATGGACTTATTCATAACGCTTTATAACACGAAACGAACAAAGGAAAAACATCTGTTATTTTGAAGTTGATTTCTGTTTTATTGTGTAATCATATTACAGAGGTGTTTTTCTACTTTGTACTCATACTGATCTTTTGTTACATTCAAGCACAAATGTGACCTTAATGGATACAGGTTAAGCTTCTTTGTAGGGACTTTTCAATTTCTTGTTTATCTTTGCAATTTCATCGACAATAGATTATTTATCATGTACTTGACCAATATACATTTAACAGTGAATAAATGTTGGTAGACAATGTTGCAGAAACACACCAGTCGAATACATATTGACTCCTGACCAATCAACACAATCACATGCTTTGATGACGACATAAAACGTTGATGGTGTCTAGATAAGTCACATGCTTTGATGACGACATAAAACGTTGATGGTGTCTAGATAAGTATCGACAAGCTTGTAAAGCATATTATTTAGGTTGGTTAACATATTATCCAATAGAAGGTTTCATATCACTTAACAGTACGAAATTGTGTGGCAGTTCCATTAGCATACATTCAACTGATGATTAAGATAACAGTCATTGAAACTTAACACCAATATTTTTAATGGTTTGTGGTATTACAGCGTCTATGTACTTTACATTTTTACCTTGAATTTTGCATGTGATGAAAACGTCACTGCAATGGTACAATTTTCAGAAAACACGACGTAACTTTGTATGCTGGGAGCTGGAAAGCAAAAAAGAAACTGACTTCGTGGGATAAGAAATTGGTCACTTTATTTGAAGATAAAATAACTTTATTTAGTTCTATCATCAACATTCTGCTTTTGCACATAGTAAGTGAATGATATTACCAGAATTTTCTTTCCACATAAATATGTTCCGCTCAGTGAATCCATACTTGTTCCTGACGCCAACTTTGTACATGCCGAAGTCACGTGATTCTGGTGCAGTAATACTTAGCCTTGCTCTGAACCCGTCGACTGTAATGCCAGCTTCTGAGTCGATATTGACCTGAGCTCGAGTGTAGAAGAATATACGATTTTCGTTACTTTGAATGATGACGCCGTCTCTGCTACAATACACCCCGGTAGGTAATGAATGCGATATAAAATCCACCGACATTTGAGCCACACGTTCTGTAACATTGACGATAATAGAATCCAAGATGGACGGAGTGCCTGTAAAAAGCGAAAATAAAAAGACAAAATGTTTTAAAAGACAAATAACAGATAATGGCATAGGTCCACAATAACACTTTAGTATACCACTGTTCCTATAAGACTAGTTTTCATGATATAAATCGCCGTGTTTTTTCTCATTCATATAAAAACGCTATCAACAGCTGTTTCAAAGCAATTAACTATATCTAATAGATTGGGCAAAAACATTTATATTGTATCTTTAATGTTTCCATCCTCTGCTGAGTTTTCCAAAATCATGTCATTATTTCCATTCCACTTAACGAAAAATAGATATACATATTAAGAAGTAAGTAATTGTCCGTTTTTATCTAATCCCTACTTGTTAATCTTTTTACTGACGGTAGTTTGAATTTGGCACTATGAATGTCCTTGCTCATTTTACCATAAATACATGACGTGTAGCATATTTCTGGTTTTATCCAGATTGTCGTGTATCAATATATTATCCACCTGTTTGTAGTAAATAAACCTACTAATGTCACTAAATTGAAATATCGCATTTTTGTAAAAAGTGCAAAATGGTGATAAAAAGTAAGAATAAACGGAACTCTTTATAAATGTACAATGAACGTCATGAGACTGGGACAGATAGGCAGTTGAAAACACATGGTTAATGTTACATGACAGTAAAAAAAATCAAATCACTGCCTTTTTTCGTTAAATTAAAAATCATCCATTGAGAACGATATTTAGGAAAAAGCGTTCAATACTCTTTATCCGGACGTAAGACAAATTAAAGCCCTGTCCTGCAGTCATGTCGTCTGTCTTAAACCCAACAACAATGAAGGTTCCGGAGGCAATGATGACCTCATCTTGCACCTGTCCGGATAACTTGGTCAATTCAGTGTTAGACTCTGTTTTACCTAATGGTAAAGACATTAAAACGTCATATTTTGATACGGATAGATAATGATTGTGCTGTAATTTCACAAATGATACCCGGATTCGGTTTATCAAAGGTGTGAAGTTAGATAGCTGAAGACAAAATAATATTAAGCTTGATAATGGAAGATTTGTCTGTTCTTCGAACAGTGTGATACAGACACATGTATATTATCTTTTCACAGATATTGTCACAAATTAAAGGAATGTAACTGCATCATATAGATGTTGCAGGAATGCTAGGACCAAAATGTTGAAAATTGGAAACCAGTGTTAGATGGCATCAATTTCACACACATTAAGTTATCGATGTTTTTGAATCTGTTCACAATAATATTGTGTAGTATTTAGCTACAAATCGTCATTATATCATTAACACTTACCATCGTAGATGATAAGATGGTCGTAGCTCTCCAGTGACAAGGTGTGAATAGTTACCTGTATGACGTCATCATTACATATGTCATCAGACACCACTATCCACTTACAATTCAATGAGCTGAAACAAGTAAATAACAGTTGTTCAAATTTTTCAGGGAAGTTGTCACGGTATTGCAAGTATTTAGAAAAGGCTGATCAAAAGTACATACACGGCATGTCGCCAAGATACTCAATAAAATGTTATTTATTCATCAACAGTTAACATTCAATGATGAGATGTAATGCCATGGGAAATCAAAGCCACTATCTTATAATATGTAAGTGATCAAGACAGATGATGATTATCAACCTACGCTATGAAAGACACTTTAAGTTGACAATGCAAGTTAAACAAAATTAATTTTGGTACAAAAGTTTTCCAAATGCTTCTGAGTTGCCCCCTGTGACAACGACAACTTCAGCGTATCTAAGAAAGTGTGTGACATTTTAGTCCAATTATCGTTTTTCAAATATTAACAAATTGTGTAACCCCCACCCCACTCCATTTATATGAATGATACCATGCTGTCATGTTTGTCATTATCAGGACGGAGTAGCAATGTATTGATGCAACACATAAGAAGGGTCACCACATGGAGATCATGTTCATTGACATTATTCTGTTTTTGTGACAAGATGAAGAATGCATAAATGATACTTTCAAAACTACCATAAGGATCGTTTATGTTTTTGGTAATCAGTGATTTTACTTCAAACTTACCAAACTTGCCATCTTTTATAGCTGTGACGTACAATCTTAATATTTTTGTGAAAGATTGCAACTTAAAATCAACTAACTTGTCGTATGCGTTTGGATATCCGGGGGAGTTGATGAACTTAGGTCTCCGGGAGGCCGTTAGTGTTTCTACATCGCAGGTATCAGATAATGGTGCTTCATGTTCCGTGTGATCAGTTAAAGAAGGCCATCGACCTTTTAAATACACACAGTTTATATCTAATTAAAATTATGTCACTATGGCAGATATTTTTATATACCAAAGGTCAAGGACAATTGAATTTTTCGCTATTTATACCTAAAATTACTCGTTACCAGGTGTTTACTACTTTCCTAAAAGTCTCGTGACATAAGGTATCTCAAAAACGAAATCAATAATTCTACAAGATGTACAAAGTGCAAAGTAAATCATTTTTTAAACAAGAAAATACCAACATGCAACATGATCATAATCCAAACTCAAAGACAATACACCTAGGGCAAAACATAAACAAAAGAAATATTTTCACGGAAACGCCTTAAAAAGTACAAGGAGAACAAGAACAGGTTCCAAAAGAGTAAGCGTCTTCTACTTCACCGACGACACCCAAGTAATGTCCCGTTCGCAAATGAAAACTAGGCATAAAACAACGGAACCAATTGACAAACTAACGAGCATCAAACACGTCCAGCGTCATATCAAACAAAGAAAAAGACTATTTCTCGATGATTTCACTTCGACGACCGTAAAACATCCCCACAATCAATCCTCTAGTACGAGTTTTTCCGTCAGTTGATGACTTCTTGCACGAAAATCGTGAAAATGAGTACAGGCCCTAGAGTACTATGACATGTAAAAACAATAAGTTGGGGGTGAAAGTATATTGCAATCCAGGTACGGAAAATTCACGACGGGGTAATTGAAATTATCACATTATCGCTTTTTGGAAAGTTGTTCATGTTATATTCGTTGCAGGAAAAGATCGAGAAAGTGACTGATGTGGAAAAGTCTGCCGTGTCTTTGATTTCAATCTCTGGTCACCGATATATCTTAAAGTGAAACCGAACGACATGGCAAGGTCTTTGAGATCTGTTTTGATAAGGTCTTCAATAAAATTCCGCCTCGCATGAAAACAAAAACAAGTCTGCCATCAGAGGGGCACATTGGAAGGGAATTGTGTTGCTATAAATGCAATATGACTGAGCATTGCCACCGATTCGGAAATATTGGCCTTAATATTCTGAGTAAATCTTTACCAAAGGTGAAAGTATATTAAGAAAAGAAAAATATTTTGGCTTGAACGTTTCGATTTGCTGCTTAATTACACACACAATTACATATATATGATATATTATGTTCATGTGTGTATCCTTGTGTATGTAACTGTCTTTGGAAAGGAATAATATAGGCTTTGCTTGTTATCCAATCCATTTGTCTTAGTGTCGATTAAATGTTTTGACAATATAACAATATAACAATCTTATAATTTATTACAAATTGAAAGTACTTTTCTGTTCCTTAGTTACAAATATCTCACCCGCGGGAGTATCACGGTATCTCAGTCGAAACTCTCGGTTGTACTTGTGACGTCGAAACATGAAGACTACAGTTATAAACCTCTCGGTTGATCGTAAGGACGGTAGATGATATACAAAGCTCCAATCGCTGATTTGCGTGGGAATGACAGGATACCGGGATGATGGTCCTGCAATATCACAGATTTAAGTTCCCTAAAACAAGATTTAGTAGTAAGGAGACGATTTATCAAAGGTCTTTCTCACCTTAGAGTCAGCTGAATGAATAGTTTCCTTACATTTAAATATACGTAACGTTTATCGTTCTAAACAAATGTTGTAGTAAATATAGTCAGGAAATTTGGGATACCCGGACCGGAAAATTCCTTGTCATAAAATGATTGTATGTTATATACCTCTACTGGGTAAGCGTTACATATATCTATATCAAATGGAAAAAATCACAGATGGATTTTAATTTCCACCAATACATGTTCTTATTTATATGATTTTCTCTGATAACTGAATTATGGTAATAGGGAACAAAAGAAACATATTGGCATATAGAGATCATTTCAGTTCGTTAGGCAATGACCACAATTCTTAAGTAGTTTTAAAATGAACAATGAAAAACTAAGATCCAAGAGAAAACATACAGAAGAAATTCGAGAATGATGCAGAAACCATCAAGAAAACGCTCCAATGTCAACATAATCATAATCCAAACTCAAATCCAATAGAACTAGAGCAAAAGGTGAACAAAAACAGGTTTACACGGTAACTCCTGAAAAATGACAAGAATAAAATCAGGTGTTCTGAAAGAATTAGCGTCTTCTGCTTCGCCGACGATATCCGCCATGTAAATTTTGGTCAATGCAAGTAGGTAATACTGTCATTTGAAAAAGACCAAGTACAACCACAGTTTACGGGGGACCTAAAACTGAAATTTTAGAATGCTTCATCAAGTACCTCTCAAGAAACCGAGAAAACAGATTGTAATTTTCAGATTCCAAGATGGTGGCTTGTGGATCATATTGTTTTCCGATTCAGTCTCAAAATCGACAGCTCAAAGCTAGTGACCAAATAGAACCTTCATATTGAATTTAAGGACATAATCCATTGAGCACATATAAATATCAAGATATCAAGAATTGTTTGGGGACAGTCGAATAATGGATGGACCACAAACATAGGCTGTATAGATCAGCCTAACATTTGATGATAATGAGGATCATTTATAGCAATTCATGTCGGAAAAGAGGTTACAGGATAGCATAGAAATGCCATCCAATTAATACGGTTACAGCTAGCAGACTTCCAAAAAGCACAAGAATCATGGCACATCGAAAGTAAAAGCATTTAAACTTAGATGTACAATTTAATTACAACATGAGAGGAATAGATAGGTTATGCATAGTAACACAATTGTTAATTTAGTAATGAAGGTTGAGACTGGTACATATGGTAACAGTGACGAGACAGAGGAAACAGATTTGTTGCGGCATCAGAAAGGAACATTGGATTTGTAAAAGCATTGATGGAGAGTGTGATTCATATGGTTGGCATTTCATTAGACACTACATACCACATACAACAAAATAAAAACAAAAGCCTTGCTGACCATTGAACAGCAGGTCACACGATTGAATGTTGATAAAAATTCTCTAAAGGTAATTTAGTTATAAAGTAAGACGAGATATTGGTGGACTATTAGGAACCCCTTAATTAGTTCAGAAAAAAGCCAGAGATCGCAAAACGTAATCAGAGTGTGGAAAAGTGTGTACATACAATGTAAAGAACGGAAAAATGTCAATGCAAAATCTTGTTAAAAGCGTCAAAAATAATTCAAGTAATGAGCACAATAGCATACACACTTTCATTTCACGAATGGCGTGATTGAAAATTACGTTACTGTCAATGAGACATTGAGGGATATCATTAGAGAAATCTAACACTATGAATTATACTTTTGACTTATGATGCTCAAAAGTTATAGAATTATCATTGAAATGTATTACCATTAAAGACGTTTACAGAATCCGTATCTATAAGGTTCAAGTATACATCCACTTCAACACCAGTATTTCCACTACAGTCCAGACGTTCTATAACCCAGGTACAGGCCTCCCCGGAGCTGAAAATAAACACAATTTCCTTTATGCAATTCATATTCCAGCATAAATTTCAATCCAGCAATTAACACGTTTCTAAAAACTTGAGCGACTCCTAAATTATTACTAACACGTTTGCCACGAATGTTCAAAGGGAGTTTTCAGTCCACCTTTTTTCCGCGATTAACAAAATCAGAAAAGAATGAAGTTCTTGGCTGAGATTGTCTTTCACTTTTTGGAAGTAATGTTACAGGTTTTTGCCGATCCTATCAATTTTCTCACTAAAACGAATTTTCATCAGAAGCTATATGGCACTGCATTGTAAACCTGCCAATATTGGTATGGAATGTGCTGTCCATGTTTTGATGTTACAAGGGTTTGTACATACAATATCTGATCATCGTTCGGCGGTGAATCATAGAGAAAATTAGTTTGGATATCAATTTGTCAACCTCCCTCATAATTTTATATTGTCTACAGGCGTCGGCATCATGCAGTATACCAGTGTAATCATAACAATTAGTGCACCTTGCTGAAGGCACTGAGAGAAACACAGACTTTACGAATGCTAAGATAGCCAACATAGCGTATCAAACGTTCTTAGGTACTACTGGGTATTTTATTTCAGGCTATCTAGTAAAGACGGAGAGAGCGAACGTGGCGGTTAGTTGGTTAGATTTAAAGATACTTCTAAAACGTTGGTTTGGAAACGTGTTAGTCTGAAACAGAAGGTCTGTCTGCTTACACGTCGATCAAGCAAAGTCCTTGTTGTTACAGTTGCAGGAAAATATTACAAAGATGCTGCAGCAGTGTTAGTTGGTTTTCACGAAGGGCGATAACTCACAACCGCTCCATGGACGTGACCTAAAAAATGACCGTCTTGTTACCTTTCGTTACCCTGCGCCGACTTGGTTAATGCAAATAGCCTTTTCTCGGGCTCCTTCTTATTTAGAAAGATGCAGCATTGTGTTTATCTATACATTTTAAAACCAAATTATTTTTCAAAGGAATGATTTTTCACAGAAATGATTTTTCAAGTGTTTTTCAAAGGCTTTGAGAAGAGCATAAATAATTGATTGGCTTTGTTTCAGCTCTCTACTCAACTGTAATACAAACTTGATTTCAATTTTCTTTGTGTGCATTTTCTTTTCCTTGAAATCAATCTGCTTGTTTCCAGAACCTGTGGTGTTAACATGTCGAAGTTGAGTCTTTGCATGGCCTGTTTCCAACATCACAATGCTCGTACAAAATATCGTCAACTGACAGACAAACCCAGCCAACAATGATCTCATTGCGAAATATTTCTGTTTTTTGTGCGATTTGAAGCTGGGCGTGATTGGTTGGTTAAATATTTTAGACTCTTACTCTCCGAAACTCCTGATATCATTCTCCTTGTACTTTTGCAGGAATTTCTGTGTAGATCTTTCTATTGGTTATGTTATGACATAGTTTTAATAATTCTGAGTTAGGGTTATGTAAATGTTTATATGTTGGTATTTTCTTGTTATTTCTATCCGGCTTCACATGTAAAATGGATGATAATCAAACCCATTAAGTAAAGATGCTTGTCACGGTTTGCAATTATCCGGCAATCATCCTAGACAGTTACGATCATACTTGTTTGAGATAAAACTACACTTAAGTATATTTTCATAATTCTGAAAGTTAACTTCACGGCATCGCTGTTTTTATAATCTGACGAATCTGAGTCGATATGATCGTCATTGTTCGATGTCTCAGGTTCATACATATATGGATTGATACATAGTGTAAATGACAATTCTGGAATATCGTCACTGTCGCTACAATCGGAGTTATATACGTGCGCCATAGTCAAGTTTCGGTGGATCGGCGATTGTCACTTATGACGTCACAGCGGTTTCGAATTCACGGACGATAACTCATGCGAGATTCTTTGATGCGATTTCAACCGAATATTTATTATTTCAACATTTTAAGATAAATGACACATATATATTCTTTGCAAGTTATAAATATATTAAATTTAATAACCAGGGAACGTCATAAATGAGGAAATTTACAAAAACAAAAGTGCATTTCGTTCACCTTTAATGCTAGAGGTATTTTCATTTTAAACATTATATGCATTACTTGAACAATCTGCTAATGTGAACATCGGTGTAGTTTGCAGATGACGTCACAAAGTTTGGTCCACCAGGGCAAACGCTTGAGGATATGATTCCTGTAAAAATATCAGAAGTTGTCATATAGAAAATAAGATCACTTATCAAATGCATAAATGATTGAGGTTAACATATAGCTAACACTGGTTGAAAGGGATCAAAATTTTATAATATATGAAATAGATTAATGTATTAAAATCATTATTATTATTAAAGATTAATGTAAGTAAAATGGATTAAGAGCTAGGCGATAAAGAGTGTGCTTTTCTTTTCTTTCTTTTTTAAATTTGAGGAAAACAAATGCATTCCTCAAGGATGCCATGCAGTGAATACATTTTTCAAGACTGATTTTGTTTTCATGTGTATATTTAATGCAAGTGTATCCTACCCTAGGAAACAATAGAAACTCGAAAGTCTTTGTCTCTAATGCCGCCGTTGGAGTTAGTCAGGTCCTGAGACCTTTTGTGAGTGAAATAGAAGGCTTTGAAAAAAATCTGTAGAGGATTTAAATTCAGGCAAATGACATGCATTAAGTTTATCAGCACTGAAGTATTGAGTGTATGGAAAGACAACAATGTGTAACAAAATGTTATAAAATTAAGAGTGGTTCAAATCACATTAAAACACACAGAAATATTAATGTTCATGGCCGTTACCAGAACGTTGCTTTAACAATGTTCTTTGATTGTGATGGTATGTTAACTTCTGGATATTCAGAAACATGTAGTAAAAGTTTAAAATACATAAAAAGTGATCTGCAGATACAAATACACAGTCGACGCAGGTTGGCAGATGTAAAATGTATAGGCGATCGAGATTAATATATCGTTATTTATATTTCAATCGCTATTATCTTTTCAAAATATTGGTTCTACATCTCTCATCAAAATACATTGATGTAATTACTAGTTCTTGGAAGTCTCCGTGCATTACAATAACATATAAGAGGGATATAATCCGCCATATCTACAGTCTAAATAAGGAATAGCTTAGCAAGTGAATGGTGGTGCTTTACTTGTGGGATACTTATAAATATTTCGAGTAATGTGTATGAAAACTGAGCACATCTTGACCATACTTAATAACAAGTATTATATTGCGATTCAAGAGTCAACATCTTTTGTTACAGTAATAAATGTTTTTATTAATCAATGTTATTTGAGGATGTGGAAAAAAGAACTTTTTTCAGTCCATATGCACAGGACAGCTATCGTTAATGAAAGTCTAAACACGAGGCAGATATTCAGTAAAATGTGTTTATTTCCTAACTTTTTAGTTTTACTTCAGAATATTATTTTCTGTATATTTATCACTTACCTTTAGATAGTGCAATCAATGTTATCCCAACAGATATCGTGTGAACACATATGGAAATCCTTTCGTTTTGACAAGGCATTTTGACAATTCTCTGATGGCTTGGTGTGTATAATAAGTTTCTTGTTGTATATATATATATATATATAATCTCGTAAGTCATTGAAGGATACTTAAGAGATTGTGAAGGAGAAGCGTTTCCGCTGTCTGCTACTGTTCGTTAGATTTTAAATAAGTTTTATAATCAAAAGCTTGCAAAACATTACCATCTTTCAATTTTGTTTTAAGCATTATCATTTAAGACTGATTTTAACCCCTGTACACTACCACACTCATTTTCTAAATGAACTACTTCACCTACATGTCGCTAATGAAAACCATTCACATTGTCTACTATGTCGTGTATTGGGGGACTTTATTTCGGTGACACACAGCGTGGATGAAACTATAGCGATTATTATCATCTAGAGAAGATCATATACATTTTGATGGTAGTCAAATATAAAGGATTTTATGGATTTATAATACAATACTCCCCTTTTTCTTTTCTTTTTATAAAGCTTCAAACTAAAAAAATATTTATATTTACTACAATTGTTGGTTGTTTACTCTGGAACTTTACACAAAACAACCTTTACCCAGGAGTCAGTAACTGAAGTATCTAACATTGATGTCTCATGTTCTACATCATGGCCTGGTTTCCCTTAAGATAAAATGATGTAACTTGATCTGGTTGACCTTATCAGTACGACACACTTTCAGGATAATGTATGCTTTAAGTGTGTCATTTGGAGAACCAACCTTTCAATGCTTGAACACTTGTCTTGTCTAGATCTGTCGTTGAGTATGTCTATGCTTCAGATTGTTTAGGACAGCCTCATGTTTGATAACTTATCATCTTTCTCTTCGAGTTGAGACCCACCTATTTCTCCTCCACGATGAAAAGTTATATCAGTTGATTCTGGTAAATCGCCCTAAAACAGTTTACGAACGCCTTCAAGCTACAAGACTTTGTAATTCATCAAAGTAATTCGTGTTCACACATCTTTTTTGTTACATGAAACTAGCACCGTTTCATCCCTTAATCCACTTGTATGAATTTTTCAACGCAATGACTACGGCGAATTAATTATTAATATATCACCATGTGACTAATTTTTGTGGGAATATGGAATTTGAGAAAAGGCGTTTATTTTTTCGTGCTTGTTTGAAAATCACATAAAATCCCTCCACTTTTGTTTAATTTTTTTTACGTTCGTACTGCAGTATATCGTTTCATGAGAATATAAATGTTATTCAGAACGCAGGACACCAGCTTCATTGATCGTAGCTTTGTCGGCTTTGATTGCTTGTATTTTGATTTATTTTCAACATATAGTAAAAAGAGTTTTGTTTTCTTTCGCAATATAAAAACAATCATTGATGTATTAATGTGTAAAAACATTTACATTCTTGTTTTTATTCTTCCAAACTCTATAAAGTCGATGGTGTTGATCCGAATAATAATCACTAAAGCCAACAGCCCAAGGATGTATCACAACTGCAATTTCTGTAACAAACGACAAACCATCATCATAATGTGGAATACTAAAAGACAAGTATCTTTTTACACTTTATTGAAAAAACTACATGATTAATACTGGGACATCACAAAGAATAAATAGGATCCAACATGAATGCAAGTTGTATAACATTTTCAACATACTTTGTATGTTTCAAAAAATCTTAAAAATCATTATCTTCGGATACATTTAATAAAACATATCTTATTAGCAGCAGCTACAATATTTTCGTCTGCGACTGAAGTGTTATATATACCAGGATCAAGTGTCTGATTGTACAACATAGAAGTAAAACGTATAGAACGTTGTGAACGCAAACTCAGAAGGTCACATTTATGGAAAAAAGGAAGCATTATAACAATCACATTATTTATAAAGAAAAATTCTTTAGGCTTAAACAGCAAAAATCTCAATTTAAATTTCAAACATCATTGATTAATTAAGGCGCTAACAAACAAAGAAGTATTTTACTTTTCATATACATTCCGAGAATAACTACTTAAAAAAAACAAAACAAAAAAAACACAACAACACCTTAAAGGTCTAGTTAACAAAAAAGCACACAGACAATTTATATCTAATTTGAATATTTAGATTGTTTTTGTTTGTAGTGATGCAAGTCAATGGAAAATAATATAAATCTGTATGATATTGTCCTGGTTAGAGCTTTATACCTTAAAACAAAATCATATGATGTAGTACTAATACTCTCAGAATACAATAACAAATTCATTGTACACGATGCCCAAAGTGTTCACAAAAACAAGATTTTGTTGTACACAGAAACCGAAATATGAAGATTAACAGGTTTCTACTATACACACAAACCAATGTGTCCAGACTAAGGCGGTTTTACTGCACAAACGTAAGAGTTCAGACTACAAAGGTTACATTAATCACAAAAACCAAAGTATTCAGAATGAAGTGTTCTGACAAGCAAGGTTCTGCTTTATTAACCGTAATTCTTTGCACTACTAAGGTTCTGCTGTAGACAGAAATCAAGTTTCCAGAATCATGCTACACAGAATCCAATTTGTCAAGCTTCTATTTTACACATAAACCAACAAGGTTTCTAAATGTATACCATTGTGGTATCATTAAACAAATATATATCACTCAACAATAAGTCTTCTTGGTGTTTTATAATGAACAAATCACTTGTTCAAATATTGCGATAAGTAGGCGTGTTATAATGTAAAACCATATGAAAATAAACTGTTTTTAAGGAATTTTGATCATCCGCCAATTGCAATTCACTGCCCGGTAGACAAAGTCTATTTTACGAATCAGTATTGGAAAATTATATCAGAAAAAAAAATCAAAATGATTATGATTCCACTGTTACTTCAGTCTTATTAGGTCAAAAATGAAAATAGAAACCGTGATAATTTCAAATGTGAATTATAAAACCATCTAAAAGGTTATTAACTGCACTTTCTGTCAAAGTAGCTGACAGAACTAGTACAATTTCTTCCGTAGATATGCTTGGAGTATTTGTAATCCCCAACAAATTATTTTCTGTATATATCTCATCTGACGAAAAATGAAGTGAAATCGAATATTCTCTACCCATTATTTAAATTATTAAATCTTTAAACTCAAAGTAAGAAACGAAATGAAATATACATAACAATTATAGTAACAACAATCTTCGAATACAGAAACACAAAAAATAAAGGATATGCATTCCTTGCAAAAATATAGATTGGAGAAAATTTACGAGAATCATGGTGATTGATGTTATTTTATTATCTTCATACAAGAGAGTACCTTGTATGACGGTACTATCTAATCGATACAATGCCATTGTAACGAAAAGAATATATTTCACTAAACTGAAATCTCATGCCCACACAAAAGGGACGCAGTTTGATATTACTTTTCCTCCGATAAATAAGTTAACAATTTCCTAAACCTTCTACGCAGCAGTTCACTATTTCCAAGGCAAATGATGCATGATTTCAGTATTATCCTTTTATCCAACACATGTTGATTACACTTTGCAATCTATCCATGATTCAGTTTATGAACACGAATTATCCTGAATCAGACAAAACAGATACTGTTTACATTATAAATTACCTTTACCTGCGATACAAGTATGTTTCAGGATGCTTATCAGGAACTTTCGAAAGAATGAATTAAGAAAAGTCAGAAGAATCTGAGATCAAATACATGATTACCACCCCTGACGTACAAATGAAAAGAACATTAATGTTTTATCCCCTGTCCAAGATGAACGTCAGACACAATGAATGCAAGATTTATGTTATACTGTTAATAAGACAATGCAATAACGTAGTTTTAACGAGAATGCATACGTTTGTCAAATTGTATGATTCTAGTTGCGAGCTTAAGATAGACTTATCTGGGCTGATAATGCCAGTCTGAAGTATCTCCAGGTCGGCAAAGAAGACCAGATTTCCTTCTGTTAATAAAATGAAGCCAAAACAATTGAAGTTTGTAGGTGATTGTATCATGGACAATGACCTCTAATTAAAGTTTGTCCATGATCTTGGTATAAATCCAGTAGGCAAGGAGACTGGGATAGTCTGACCTGGGGCTCCACTGACCACAATGGTCTGAGGTGCATTTACCACCTGTTGTTGTTGCTGCTGCTGCGAGACCGCCACGTTCTGCGATGTCAGTACTTGTGCGGACTGGATTTCATTATCGGAGGCAGCAGCAGGGATACTCTGAGTAGCTACAGCCATCTGTATTGGCCCAGCCAATGTGATGCCTTGGGGCAGGGCTTGGCTCAAGTGACTGAGCTCTATGGTTGAGTGCTGAAGGGGTGTGGTCTGCACAGTCACCATTGTAGGTGCACCTGCACCAACACGCTGAAGCTGAATTTCTCCCATCTGACGGTACTCCTGCTGGAGGGATTGGGTCAATTCACTCATTGCTTGAGTCAGCAGGTCAGCTGGTTGACCGTCTTGACCAGGATGGGGCTGTATTGCGATCACTGTGTCCTGGTCATACCTAACCACCTGTGTGATCATTCCATCCTGACTAGGCTGGGGGTCAGGCTGTGCTTGTTGACCCTCTTTGCCCATCTTTGGCGGCAGCGGTGGGACAGCAAATGGATGTTTCTTTCTCTGGTGCTGGGTTAGCTTAGCTTTGCTGGCATATTGTTTGTGGCAGAACTCACAAGAATGGGGCATAGTGGTGATACTACCTACTGTCTGAGAATACGTAGGATTAGGTAATCCCGGGAATTCTGGAACTGTTGATTTCTTTCTGCTACTCATGGGAAGGTCTGCCCCAGGATGGTTCTTGATAATGTGAGCCTTTCGTTTTGAGCTGGACTTATACACTTTTTCGCAGTATTGGCAATAGTAATCTTTTTGAGTTTTCAGGATTGGCAAATTTAACTCTGGTACTGTCTCAGGTTTGACATCAGGGTGACGTTTTGCTAAGTGATTTACTAACATCCCGCGGCGTTTAAATCCATGCATACAAGTATGGCATTTATAAATAAATCGGTGATAATCTGATGGCGAGACTTTAGGAATAAATTTCTTCTTTGATGACCTGTTTTTGCCTGCCATTTTAACTTCACGCTCGAGTGAATGCATGCGTCTAATGTGTTCCTTCAGTTTATCTTTCCTTTTAAATTGGCGACCACATGTCTCACACATAAACTCTCGGTGCGTAGAATGGCGAAGCATGTGGAGTTTGAGCTTGTCAGGACGTGGGAAGACCTTGTCACAGTGAGGACAGGGGAATTCCTTGTTAGTGTGGAAGCCACGAATGTGCTTACGAAGAGATATAAAGTCAGTGAACTGTTTATGACAGTCAGGGCATGTATAGACACCATCCTGGGCATGTTCAACGACATGCTCCTTCATAGTGGCAGTGTGATCGAACCCTTGATGACAGATTGGACATTCATAATACTTCTTGTCACTGTGGGTCTTCAGGTGACAGGAGAGAGCAGAATTGTTCATGAAGCGTTTGAAACAGACATCGCACTGAAGTGGTTTGGAGTCTTCATCACCATGACACAACATATGACGTTGCAATGTTTCCTGGGTGTGGAATGCTTTCCAGCATTTGTCACATTTATGCGGGCGATCTCGTTCACTTCTGCGTTTTGTTGTACCATGTTCAGCAGCATGTTCAATAAGTGCTCTCTGTTCCACAAACTGTGCATGGCACACAGGACACGCTAGTGTGCTAGAATCGATACTGACAACATTGTCATCTAGCCCACCTCCCTCTGATACAGAACCATTGTCTGTAACACCATAAGCAAACTTTCTGACCTCATCTAAGCCAACATCCTCAGCAGCATGGGTGAGTGTGTGGAGATTCAGAAGGTTGGAGTTGTCGAAGGTCAAATCACAGTGTACACAGACCCATTCCTGTCCACCAGATTCTTTACCTTTCTTGCGATACAATGACTGAATTGTACGTCGAATTGCTTCTGGATCATGACGTCGCTGGTACTTCTTCAATGTCCTGCAAGGAATATAATACATCAGTGTGATATTTGTAATGAATTAAAGATGTATGTTATAAAAATAATGGTTTTCTTTTTGCATTTTGTTGTGTGAGGATTTTAATCATCAAAGAATTTGCTTAAATAAAAGGATATTATTTTTTATCTTTAACTGAATTAGTCAATTTAAGTATCCTAAATATTTCCATTCACTTCATCAAGAAAAGGGAGAAAACTCTCAAACTATGATTTAGAAGAAACTGAAAAGTCTATGATATATTTGGTTATGAAAGAAATCAAACTGTTGAACTCAAGTAAGAATTTGTTCCTTAAAAAATGAAAAAGAAAACAGAAATAAAAGAAGATGTATCATAAAATTCTTGATTCTAACTCAATTCTGTGGAAATCTGGACAAAATGCAAGCAAAGGGAGGATTTACACAAAAGAGGACAAAGTTAGTGCAAGATATGCAGAATATATCTGGTTAGATCTATCTAGAGAAATGAGCAACACAATAAAATCTTTTTCAGGCTTATTTTTCTGTATCAATTGACAGTGTAACAGTTGATTGATTTCAATTTAAGAATTTTATCTTTTAAATAATGCTGTTTGCAAATTTGTCTTATCTAGCTATAAGAGATTTCTACATCACATATGACTGGAATAATGATAAATAGTGGTAAATACAGCCATTTCTAGCAATATTATAGTGTTATCAACCTGAAATTAATTTTAAGTAATTGCTAAGTTTCTCGAGAATATAATCGTTAAATATTGTGAGTTCTTGTTTTTAAGAAATTTCTATTTATACTTCAATAACATACTACTCACTTGTTTAAGTAAATACTTGTTGATTTCTTCTTCCACATGTAGCCAGTGGTATCCAGGTCCTGGAAACAAGACAATAAAGACTTGTAAGTATTGATCAGAATTAAGGATTCCTCTGAGAAGTTAAAACCTCCAGCAATAACCCTTTGTTCTAGTGATTGGCAGCAAAATTAGGATCTAATTTAAAAGCCGAAAATCAATATGTTGCTGCAATTATAGGTGTCACAATATGTATAACAGAAAATAATTATTTTAACCTATGTTTTTTTCCTTACCAACAGATATTCTTGGTTATTTTCATGGCAACCTTTTTTTTTTAAAATAAATTTCGTCTTGCATTAAAAGTGGTAATAGTAAGGATATTTGGATATTAAGAAAGAAATAATGTGAAAAAGCTTAATCTCTGTTTGAGTTAATGAGATTGTAACTGCATAGCAACAAAAAAAAACTGAAATTTTTAGAGAAATTACTTAAATCCTTTACTTAACCATCATTTATTATTTAATACAATTTGCTTACAGGTCGTAAAACTCAGAGAAAGTTGTCCACCAACATATTTAAAAAAGCTGAGTACAAAAACTCTTAGTAGATCACATATAAATCTCAGTATGGTTCATTACAATATCTGGGGTCAACCATGTGTTACCTTTTTGGGAGGCCGTCCCCTCCTTTTGAGGTATCCCTGGCAGAGTGAGGAGTACGACTTCCCTTTTGGGGTCTCACTTGTGCTGGGTTCAGGGGATTCCTCTGCTGGGCCTACTGTGTCATGTGTCAAGATGATGTGTCTTTGAAGCGCCAAAGATGTTTTGAAGCGTTTGGAGCAGTCATAGCACTGAAATTTATACTCCTGTTGATCTAGAGCTATAAGTAAATAAAAATTCATAAAAATTCATTGTGAAAAAACAGAGTATTGGATAACAACTGAAATGAGATAATGTAAATGTGGCTATTTCTGAGAGGGTTAATTTCCAAATTCCAACAGACAAACTATATATGCAGGGATTATTTTTGCAATCAATTCACCATCTCATATTTAATGAAAATTTTCATATGTATAACATGTCAGAAATTTATACGTAAGGGTGAAAATTATATAGCCCAATGACATCCACATACTCAGTGTAGATTTTCCCTACATGCAAAAAAAAAAAACAAAAAAACTAACAACTGATAATAACAATTAAAGTATTACACTGTATCTTTCATTTAAGAAACATTTTTACAACTATGCACACAATTCATCAACAGCCTTTCACATTTTATATAAAATCATGTGAAAGGTTGATTTTTCTCATTGTTGAAATTTTCACTTTTTTAACTGAAGTGATAAAATAGACTTTTCTTTTATGATAATAATTTAATTTTATTACTAACAATAATTAGACCACAACTAAAAGTACCATAAGTATGGGACACTTATATGTCTTATAACTAGATTATCAAAAACAAAATAAAAAAACATGAGGACACAAGTCATGGATCACTTTGGATTATTGATCATTCAATAATTTTAAAAATGAAATATACACAACATAATATAAGTAATTATAGGAACTTTAGTAAATTTTATACTAATTCCAGAGTAACTTTGTTACAGCAAAAATTAACACTTAAAGAAAACTTCAACGTATCATTGCTAAACCAAATTTATCATAGTTAACATAACAACGATTTGAAATGAGTGTGAGAACTTATCATTAAAATACTATGGTAAACTAACTTTGTAAATCCTGGTCTGTGATCTCCAGGGTCTGTAGACCAAACCGTTCAGCATAGTGAGAGGCATACCATACCTGTAAGTAACAGTGAAGTAACAATAACACATACAAATCAAAATTCTGTAATTTATTAAACAGCAACTTATACAATTATCAGAAAGTGAGTATTAACTTCAGAAATAGAATGCTCACTTAGAAAGATATACACATTATACCACAGAGTCTCTATGCTGTTTTATATTATGCTTGGAATGTGTGAATCTTTCAGTTTTTGTAATGATATACATCCAATCTTGTTTGTACCCTTGCAAATTTTCACATTTTTAAAAAAACATTTTAAAGTTTTCATTAAGTTTCAAATCTGATAAAATCTTCTACTAATATTCTTAATGACAATTCCTGAGGGTTTATTAATTTTACATTCTCCTGTCAGTTACTGTACATGTTGTTTTCCTCCATGGCTAATTTTCTTAGTGTTTTACCAAAAGCTTTAAGCAAAAAGGAATGTTTTTTATGGAATTCATGATATAAACAAAGAATTTTTGTATAATTTTTATCAGGGTATCATATCATCTATTGGGATTTTATCTTAGAAATCCTACAAAATTTTTAAAAAATATACTATTTAGCCTTGAAGTATGTGAGGTTTTGCTGTCCCTCTGAAAATTTCAGAAAAAAATCTTACAGAGGCTCAAAGATATTACTTACACCATGTGAGCTTTCTCACCTTGAGCTCCCCGCGAGCTTCTATATGTTTTGTCACAGTAAAGTAGATGTCTTGGCCATACTGATAGGCTACCATATTTTGTTCTGCATAACTCTCAGCTGGCCTCACAAACATCATCCAATTGCACTTATTTTCATCACTTGTCTCAAAATACATCATGTCCCCTCCTGTTTTTTCAAGCTGTAACACAAAGACACAATACAATATATACATATACCTTATAACCTGAAAACTGATCACCAAGGGCCTATTGTGGCCAGGCCATGTTTATCTAAATACTTTGTGGATTTTCTTTTTTTTCATAAACAGCGACCTTGACATTGAAATATTTTTTTCTAAATTGCGGTACTATTCCTGGAAATCTGAGAGTGATCTAGCAGTCAGAGGTATGGACAGGACTTGTAAATAATGTGGTATACTTGCTATGGAGAAGTATCTTCTAATTAAGTATTCATTACACACAATGAACCCGATATTAGATGGGTGTCACATGACATACTACACTCAATATATTATCCTAGCAATGACATGACTTAATACCAAGGATTATAAGGCAAATTCTATCAACACATTTTTGTTCCTGAATGATATAGACAAATAAAAAAACAATTGCTTATTTTATAATTGTTTTTTTGAACAATTAAACTGAATTAAAGGCCTTTTTATTTCTGACGTTACAGAAAGTGGTAAAGTCTAGTACATTATGACGGAGATATAAATACGAGCTTTAAGTGTAACTTTGTAAGAATTCAACATTTTTTTCTAATTTAGCCCTTGTGCAGAGCTGTACATCACAATATATTCTTTTTCACAATCTGTAACATAATAAATGCTTAAAATTACATGTATCAGCTGTAAACAAAGTCCTTTAGAACACATGTTATGTACTTAAAACTCACCAGCAGAAGAAATCGGGCAGACCCTACACTCTCTCGATTAGAAACCAGGTCCCCGATGTATGGACCAAACTGAGTCTGCTTGGACAAGGGACGTTTGGCAAACACACCTACATGAGGAGGATCTATCAAGAACAAAATTTAAAGACAATTAAAATTCAAGTGCTAAAACTGATCATATTTCTATGATAATTTCAGGGTTATACACCCTGCTGGTAATTAAGGTGTCAAGTTTCCTCCTGACATTTGCAATGGTTCAAAATCATGAGCCCTATTACTGACTGAAACTTTTTAGCACTAAGACATTTATGTGAAGGTCATGGTGACCTAATTTCAGTGTGATGCACATAGTCTGTGAATGATACAATAATTTTGTTTTAAGTTTCATATTGCATTTGACCTTTGAACTTGCGGTAAAGATCACAGTGACCATCTGTGTCTGATGTAAAGAAACAGAATCAGTAATGAAGGGGACATAGGACCAAAGAGTCAGTATAACTATAGAAATACATTCTGTACCTCCCTTCAAATATAGAGCAAAATAAATCCTCCTTCAATCAGTCCAGGATTAAGTATGTTAATTCAGACTTAAAATTGCAGGGTTGGTTTTATATTTCTGTACAATGAAATAGAAAGTGTTTGTTGACCTTTTACAACAGTTATATATAAGACTGTAAGTCATATCATTAAATGACATCTACATACCTGCAGGGTACTGATTGACCTCACTTAGTCGAAAGATCTGTAACATTGGAGGTAAGCTGGCCCAAGCACGGGAGAGAACAACCTTATCTGGTATGATCTGTAATCTATGCATGGGACAAAATGGGTCGTAAGTTGTCATACACTCCTCGCACCCTGTAAAATCAACATTATATGATCTGTAATTGGTGCATGGGACAAAATGGGTTGTAAGTTGTCATACACTCCTCGCACCCTGTAAAATAAACATTGTATGATCTGTAATTGGTGCATGGGACAAAATGGGTCGTAAGTTGTCATACACTCCTCGCACCCTGTAAAATCAACATTGTATGATCTGTAATTGGTGCATGGGACAAAATGGGTCGTACGTTGTCATACACTCCTCGCACCCTGTAAAATCCTCATTGTGAGACTTCCCTTATTTCACATGAATGTTAAACTTATTCTATCTTATATTATGTCCTCTTAGCTCAGATATACGCTTGAATCCTCTGCAAAACCAACATGACTGAGCAGGTGACTCAGGGATATCAAATATGATCAGAAAGATGAATGGCGATTGTGTTACTAATTTACACAAGATTGTCATGTACTTACATTTAATGAATGACAGCAGTAATATATATCCGCTACTCATCAACTTTGCTATGATTTTTCTCTTTTTATTTCAACACAGATACATACTTAAATTTTTTACAACTTTAAATAAGATGTTATATATTGAACATATTTTAACCGGATTCAAAATTTCTGTTTCTTTCAACTCCCAAATCATACATTTATTTAATCTGTACATAAATAATATCTTTTCAATCTCATAGGATAAAGAAGAACTACAGAAATTGTAGGGTTTAGGGTTGTATGTGGGTCTATAATTAGGACCTGTACTTACATAAACTGTTAGGACTGTAGGGTTTAGGGTTGTATGTGGGTCTATAATTAGGACCTGTACTTACATAGACTGTTAGGATTGTAGGGTTTAGGGTTGTATGTGGGTCTATAATTAGGACCTGTACTTACATAGACTGTTAGGATTGTAGGGTTTAGGGTTGTATGTGGGTCTATAATTAGGACCTGTACTTACATAAACTGTTAGGATTGTAGGGTTTAGGGTTGTATGTGGGTCTATAATTAGGACCTGTACTTACATAGACTGTTAGGATTGTAGGGTTTAGGGTTGTATGTGGGTCTATAATTAGGACCTGTACTTACATAAACTGTTAGGATTGTAGGGTTTAGGGTTGTATGTGGGTCTATAATTAGGACCTGTACTTACATAGACTGTTAGGATTGTAGGGTTTAGGGTTGTATGTGGGTCTATAATTAGGACCTGTACTTACATAGACTGTTAGGATTGTAGGGTTAAGGGTTGTATGTGGGTCTATAATTAGGACCTGTACTTACATAGACTGTTAGGATTGTAGGGTTTAGGGTTGTATGTGGGTCTATGATGCCAGTGTGATGTTTCATTTTCCAGCTCAGCTATCCGGGACGACTTTCTTATCTGAAAACGATACAACATGTATTTGATGAGAAACTGTTTCATAATTACATGTGTTTCCATTACCTAACAGATTCGTAAAATGGATGGATAAAGCTGTCTGATAATTTGGCTTTATTGCGACAAAAGAAAAAAATGATTACATCTGTTGTGTGTAATGTACATAATAAAAGGAATTGATACTGTTGATGCTGAAAATTTTCATCATTAAAGAAAAAAAATAGAAGAAATCAATTAGAGAAAAATTAATTTTAAGTCAAAAGTAGCATTTGTTTATATGTTCTAAACTAGAGAAATAGAAACACTACCTGCATTTGGGAACTACTTGGTGTAGGGACCATTTCCATGTCTGTCATGTCTTTCTCCGGGTCAATGCTGGGGACGAGGGATGTACCAAGGCGCTGTAAAGTAGCTACACTCATCATGTTAGATTGCCCATCAACAATAGACGAAGACCCTAAAAACAAAAGAAATTATAAAACTCTTTATCTGAGATTGGTGCAGCCTACTGGTACCTATATAAACAAGAGGTACAACAGCCTCAAAGATCGACTAATTGTAATGATGTGTCTGTTGCTGGGAAAATGTCATTAATTTAATGATTTAATGCAGGCAAAAATACAAGAATCAGGAAGTAAATGTAATGTAAATACTTTGTATACAAAAATAAACCTTTCCATAAAAAGATAATGAAAATCCCTGTTAGAGTCTGTATTATTGTTGGGCTGTATTTTCTGTCATTTTTGAGGATGGAAGTTGACAAAACAAGATCCTTTGAAATTATTCAATATCAAATGAAAAAAACATAACCTGCACTCCCCTGACTTAAGGAATAACACATGCCTTACCAGTACATGGGGCAATATATTAAAATGGTCAGGATTTACCTATTCCAGAGCTGTCGACAATGGATCGGTCCTGGACATTGTCCATCCTAGTCTGAGCCATGGGATGGTGAAGACTACTGGACAAGTGTGACGAGTTAATCTGGTGATTGTGATCCATAAGGTCAGAGGTCGGATGGTGGGACTGATTCATAGTCGAGTGGAGTTCAGCATCATCCAGATTTGGAGATGTATCTACTATGTAGTTCCTCACCGCTGTTGTGAAAAGAAATGCAAAGTACATTTAGAAGGATTAAATATTATGAAAAATTATCTCAGCCGATTCTGTCAAAAATTGGGTATAACAGCATGAAAAGGCTAAAAGAAAAACCAGAGGTTATGCAGTCAATCCTTGAAACAAGGGCATAAAATCATGGCATATTCAATATTTTGAAAAATGTTTTCATATGAAGTTGGTATATACTGAAAAGTTGAAGTGAAAGATTAAATAGACAAATTCTAATTTGCAATGATATTTTTGCCAAATGAGATAATAAGGCCTTTCAAATATTAACCATAGACTTGAGAATGCTTGCTTAACAACCCAAGACATATTAACTTTCAAAGACGTTTTAAGGAATTATGTCAAATGACAAAACTATTCTTTCAAACTACAGTCACAAATGCATGACTAAGGACTGTATTATTCACGCTTCTTGGATTATTTGGGGAAAAGAAAGGGAAAAAAGGAATGGGATTTTACCTTGAAATTCCTCCCCATCATCTTGTGTAGTATCAGGTTCACCACTAATGGTCTCGTGTGTAGTCTGTAAAACAATGTTTTCTGAATTATAGAAATCAATATCAGACTCTTAGTCGTGGCATTTTTATTTTAAAAGAAATTTTATAAATGTCTTTTTTTGAAAATGTACATAGACCATTAAATAAATAAAATTTTCCACTAACATTTCTTACAACTGAGATTTATTCTTCACTTTTAATTTAATTTGTCTAAAGTGATTAGAATTGATTTTGACATTTCACCAGGTAAATGAAGTGATTTTGTACTACCTTGCGTGGAGCAGGTGGTATCATGCGCCGTTCCTGTGTTGGAGGACCAGTGATGGACGAGATGCCATTGTCTTGCTCTCTTTCCACAATGTGATTGCCGTGTCCATGAGCCATAAGTGGTGGGCCTCCTGTACTAGACACAGCCTCATTGTGGGAGTATGATGGCATTGATGTCACATGTCCTACAGGATACCGTGGGACACTTGTCACCTAAACAACAAATACAGGCCTATGTAGAATTTATAATATAATTGTACCCTGCAAATCTGATAGGTATGAGAGCTTCAAGGCAAAAATCCTCCATGTTCATGAAAATAAATATTGTTTGACAAAATTATGCAATAACAGATACTAGTACTGTTACAGTACTGATAATACATTTTGTGAATAAACACAATGTAGCAGAACATCAAATATTTTATGAAATATTGTGTTGTTCAAAAATTACATATCATTATCACAGGAATACTTACAAAAATTAATAATCGACTTGCCATGCTAGAACAAATAAACTCATAGCATATGCCACTAATTTTTAAAGTACAATTGACTATATCAACCATAAAAGCAGTAGACTAGTTTTTAAGGCTGGGAATTTCAACCATAGAATGTGTCAATAAATTGTTAAGCCTTTTTAAGTACAGTGTTGTGGCAATATTGAACATATGAAAGGATTACTGAACCAAATTATTCAGTTTTTAAAAATGTTCATCAAATTGTAGATTAAATTTAATTTTCTACTAATGAAAATGACACCTCTCTTTTTAGAACAATGCAATTGTGAGCCCATGACTTACAGGTGCCAGGATAGTGTGTGTCTGTTGCTGGTGCTGTTGGTCCTGGGTAGACATGCTCACTGCTGATTGGCTAACAGTACAATCCACAGGGGAGATAACTCTCTGTACCGTCATCACTCGTTGATGATCAGAATTCATGACAACATGGGAAACACTGTACCCCTTTCATATACAAGAAATTTTAGATATCAAATGATGCCAAAACTTACAAAGGGTAGATAACTCTCCTAATAGATTCAGTGTTTCATTCATTTTTTTCTAATTTCTTCATAAGAATTACTTTAAACACATTTATTGAATCGGTTGTGATGTTTCTTTTATCTCTCAGAAGAACAAAGATGATATGATATCTAATGTATTTTACCTTGATCAGTTTCCATGGAATTATAATTTATCACATTAAACATTTTACTTCAGACAATTTCTCACTCTAGAATTTTAGAATTAATTTCCAGTAATTGTAGATTTTGTTCCGACCTATTTTAAAATAGTTTGTTGACTAGATTGTGACTTTAAAAGCTTAATGATATAAGGTAAGGTTACCAGACCTAAATAGTGCAGTCTAATATAACACATAAAGACCTACATTTGTAAGTTAAACAAGGGAAGGTAACTTACTGGACCAAGTGTGCTGCTGTCAACCGATGGAGCTGCTAACATGCCTGATGCCTCTGCCTGCATCCCGGAGTACGAGGAAATAGGATCGCTACCTGTAGGCACCTCTCGTATCTCTCTGTATTCAGTGACTGGAGAAATACGCTCGTATGATGACTGAGGAGCTTGGTACACCTGGGGGTCTGATGCGGAAATATAAGCATCTGCGAATGGCACCCTGGGAAATGAAGAGGAGTTTTATCTAAAGAAACGTGAAGACAAAAGATCTATCTATCACACGGTATTCACGAATCATCAGGATCAGTCAATATAAATATCCATAGTAAAATGATCTAGGCCTCTTTATACTTTATGTACATGAATTTGGACTCAGATATTTCAGTCCTGGACTCAAGCTTTTCCTGTTAGACTCACAAATACTTGTCAGACCCACAATATCTCCTAGTATTGGGACTCATCAACACTTTGGAATCAAATTTTTGACTCATCTGAAAAAATCTTATAAAATTTGTTATAATGATAAGATATATATAATTCTAACTATCACTACTACCAAAAAATAAATAAAACATGTGTGATGTTACAGGTCCAGTTACTACATTGTCAGATTTTCTTTCTGTGAGTCAAGCCTAATTGAATATTTTTGATGAGTCATACTACTGCAAAATGCAGGAAGAATATACCAGAAGTAGAAGATTTATATATACTGAAGATTATTGAGCTGCCTTTGTACCTGTTTTGGGAATACGGTGCACCATATTGGAGCCGTGAGTAATTTGGAGCTGAGACTCGTGTTGATGTCGCAGATGATGAAGCATATGCTGAGGATGCTGATGCAGCATAAGACACTGACCCTGAAGTAAAGGCCACACCCACTTCCTGTGGGTAGCGTGGTCCCTGGGTAGACTCTGGTGGTGTCCACACATCATTCCTGTTGGAGTGGTTATCATTCTCCATCCTTCTTGAAGGTCAGAGGTCAAGGTTTAAATGAGGAAAATATTTGTTTTTCTTTAAGGCTAGGACATGACACCTGACCTAAGACTTAGTAATGTCTATAAATTTCTGCTTCAACTGGTGACATTTCCTTGCAGTTTGGTGTGGCATCCGTACATGTACAGGTCGCCTCTATGAAATATGCAAACATTAGCAATGATTTGAATATGTATATGGTTATCATAACAACAATAATCAGAAAATACTTCACTATAATTGGTACAATAACATTTTAAGCAATATCAAAGAGGCATGCTGACATATTGAGAAAAAAAACAAGAGGCCCAGGGGCCTTAATGTTCACTTGAGGTCTTTGGACATTTTGAGAACTTATTCATAAGTCCCAGCATTAGGGCAGAACTGAAGTGATATATGCATACTTAAAATGTTTTCATTGTTTCTAAGTTTTAATTCTAAATTCTCAAACAGAACTGATATCACTCTCTTTTGTTGTAGTTTAGTATATTTGAACCCTGTGACCTTGAATACAGGTAAAGGTCATTCATTGGAACAAACATGATAGACCTTAATGCCAACATGCTACTGGCCCAACATCAGTACACTGGCCCTTTAGATTATTGAAAAGAAGTTGTTTAAAGACTTCAATACGTTAGTCACCTGTGACCTTGAAAGCAGGTTCATGTTTAGGTCATTTATTTATACAAACTTGTTTGCCCTTCATCCTAGCATGCTACAGGCCCACTGGGCCTTTTGGTGATTAAGAAGAAGTAAAAAATGTTAATTGTTCATGACGCACAATGGACAAAAGGTGATCACTTGAGACTTTGTTGACAGAAAACCTCATCTTACCCAGTAATGAAAATAGACACTGAACAACTGTACAAAGCATTGTCATCTCACTGTATGTACGACAGGCTCCAGCCATGCAGTGTCAAAGACCGAGTACGAAATAAAGGTTTTTGAAAACACAAGAAGGCCTTTCACAGTTTCAAAGCTCTTTGTCCTTAAAGCTCTTCTCCAAACATCAAAAGGCCAAAGAATCTGCCTTCAAGTTTATTCTTTGTAGATATATAATCATAATTATTTCGAACGAGGGAGAATGGGGGTGGAAAACTCGGCGAGGTCTTTTTGCATTTTCTGAACCTGAAGCATGTCAGAAATTCTGAAAGTCTACAAAGAGGAAAAATCCCATTTACATTTGTGTAATAACATGATAATAACATGATTACATGCATTTCTTACAATTATTAGAAATTTTTATTCTAGATTTTTTCTGAGGATGTTATAGATTCATGTGACAGTGTACAGAGTTATGGAAAAATTCACCCCCCATACAAATTACAGGTAACTTTTTTAAGTTAAGACTACATGAAGTTAAGAAACTTTATCATGTCTGATCTTCTTGTTCGATATACTGATCATGAGGCCACCAGTTGGACTGTGAAATCTGGCTGTATTCAGCAGTTCTTCATTATTTAATTATGAATATATATATTTATATTTAATGTTGGTTCATTGAAATTTTCTTCTTACCTTGTTGATTCAAAAATAACACATATACATCAATTTAACTTCAAAAATTCACATTGACCATTGATGACCTATTTATTGACCTTTGACATACTATGTATTTCAACTGTAAACATCAATTAATTCAGTTAATTTATTGAAGAAATCCAGCATAGGGATACCTATTTCTTAGACAAGTAAATCAGAAAGACGTCAAAATACATTTAAACAGCCTATTTATTGGATGTACAAATATACCATGGAATCTACAAATTGGTCAAAAAAGGTTATTGAGGCCAGTCATGATATGGTACACATATGTATATCATATTTTTTTTAAGGGTTGGGTGTTTTTAAGTGGGTGGGGGGTGTTTTTGCTTTTTGTCTTTGGCTTTTTCAACAAGATAATTTTTCTGATGATTTATGTCCAAAAAAGGAAAACAAATGTTGAATAAGAATCTTGCAATCAATTTTTCAGTTGACTATAATATTATTAAAAAAAATAAAATATCCTGTATCGTTGTTTTAGACCTTTGTTCTTGATTTACTTTTCAGGCTTAAAAGTAAGCCTCTAAGAGGAGCACATGTTCTGTGCATTGTCTTTTAAAAATGAAACCAGTGTCACTTTCTGTTGGTAAATGTTTTGCAAGTGTAACCTACAAATGCAATGTTTTTCTTTTCTTGGTTTTTTTTGGTCTTGTTTCATTTCATGTATTTATTTGTGATCAAGAAATAAGATTGATGTTTACGTCACGCTTTATAATCTTGTTTAACGAGGTGTAGTCTTCAGAAATAGAACAGTGAAATAGTTGTAGATGAAAACAAATAATAAGTTTTAGATAAACAGTTCACAAAACAATGAAGGTCAAAATAATGACAAATAATGTTCCCCAAAATTATCTAGCATTTTGTTCGTTCACCCTTAGCCGAATAGTTCCGTAGTTTATGAGTTATTTTTTTCAGACCCAGGCCAAATTGGAATGACCCATGATCACCCCCACCACTGGTTTCGCCAGGGCGACCGAACAACACAGAAGGGGTGGGCGGCCATTTTGCGTTTAATCCACCACCATTTTGTGCAGTATTTGCAGACAGAAATAAATTATGATAATAGTCTACATCTGTCGGAGTAAACACGTTTCTGTGCATTTCAGTGATAATTTGACAAATTAAAGTCTCAGCCTCTTAAAAGAAACAGATCAAGACATAAGTTGACCATTTTCACCCTACGATGGAATGTTCAATCGGGTTGTCCCATTCTGCACGAAATAACATTTTGGAATGACCTGGAATATCCCAACGTGAAGGGGACGACGAAAACGTCACTGCGTCTGACAAGTGCGCGGGTAACATTGCCATTTGCATCGTCAAATCATACAAATGTTCACACAGATTGATATGGCACCAATTAAACACAACAAAAGTATCTAAACATGGTAATATTTCAAAGTTTAGGAACAGAATAAATTGTAACATTATTGACCTACCTGTGGTATTGAACTTCTCGTGCTGTCTCGACAAAGTCACGTGCCGAGATTGACTACAGAAATTGTTTAAACATGGCGGCTCCCATGGTCGTTGTTTACATCGCAAAAGAATAGCTTAAACAGCAGCTATGGAGGAAGGTAAACACAAACCTGCACTTTACAGATGGAAAAAACAAAACGACACACGTTTATACTCCAGATCACAGGTAAGAACGTTTTGTAGATGTAAAGAAATCGGCCAGGTATCGTTTATTTTCCCAGACATAAGCAAAAATGGAACGGTCCTTGTTAAAACGGCCTCATTTAAAAGAGGTCCTTCAGAAAGCGTCCCGACTTTCTAATGACCATTCTGTAGGATATGTTGCCAATATTTACCTGTATTTAGGCCATTGATTTAGAAAATAAACTTAATATGTTTTTGAAAATACGGCCACAAAAAGCAAATAAATCAATTGTTTACTTCAAGTGGATGCACGTAACGTTGTACTATTTTCTGAATTCAGTACAAAGAAAACGAAATTCAATGGACGGTCTGGACGATTCAGTAATATAGGCAGTCTACCTAGGATGGATTCCTCTACAGGAGTCTGGTTTAAATATAGTTTAGAGCTCTGGGGACGACATACCAAGCATGCCGAAACATGTCAACTATGAAACAGTTTTAATTCTTCCTACGGATGACGTCTGGTCCTCTATATTTGCTATTTTCTGTATTGATGATTTCTGATCATGCTTAAATGATACCAAACTTAGTGTAAACATGCTTAAAGATAAGCACATCATTCAAAATATTCTCACTTAAAACTGTTTTATTGTTGACATCTACACATGGTACATGTATATCAGTATTAGTGCATTGTCAATCAGACCATGTACTTTATTTGGCAGGACCATTGTCAACTGTGTAGGGGAACTGGACTGGTCCATCGTCGGCGACCAGTTAGCTCAGTAGATAGAGTATATGTCTAGAGTCCGGAATGTCCTGGGTTTGAACCCCAGTCATGCTGCTTATTTTTCTGCTCTAGTTACATTTACTTCCATGACCAAACCTTGTTTCAAGCAGTAGTTGAATGCTTAACAAGGGGATACATCGACCTGGGTTGTTAGGGACAAGACTAAAAATAAGGAAGGAGTTGTGTAGTAGATCTGGACAGGGGTCGATCATTGGCGACCAGTTAGCTCAGTAAGTAGTTCAAACCCCAGTCTGGCTGCACATTTTTCCATTCTTGTTACAACTGCATGTACACCATGATGGAACTTTCTCTTATTTCAGATGATGCACTTGAAAACGGAAATAAAACGCATATCTACACCAACAGGGAAAACAAAACTGTAATAACAGAAACATTAAAATTTGATTGTTATGGATACCTTACTCTTACATTCAGGATGAAAAATAGAGGCTTAATGTCTCACCATGTAATCCAAAGAGTTGTGACTAGCAACAAAGGAAAAAAGTAAAATCACAGATAATAAAAACCCTAAAGAACCCATTGTCATCTTAGATTTTTTCATTTTCATTTTTCATTACTCCCTGTGTAAAAATTTGTTCTACATAACTGACTTTTATTGTCTACTGACTCCAGCTCCAATCAATGTTGCAAAGGTTGAGATTGGATGTGTTGGAGACCTCCTCTTGATTTCCATTCCCAAAGTTTAAAAAAATGGCCTTGCTGCTTGCAGATATTTTATCTCAGATCCAATTGTCAACTATACCAATTTTATGCATTCTGAGAGAGATGCAAAATACTAAAATCATACCATGTACTGTTCATGTATAATTCTGTTGAGCAAATTCACACTTTTTTATTTTTCAGAAAGTGACAACAAACAATGATATACAGGACTGGATCAAGGTAAATAGTTCTTCTTTCATATGTGAGTTATGAAACTAACTTGTCACAATTTTTTTCAGTTGCCAGATAAACACACAATAAAATGGATGATTTTTAGATTTTATAAATCAAATAAAAAATGGAAGCTCATTTGCTATCCTAGATCCTGTAATGAAATGAAATTGCTCTGTCATTTGTAAAATATCTTCAATTACTCAAGTGACCAAATAGCATTTTTCCATTTCATTGTACAGTTAAAACTCATTATCTCGAAATTCAAGGGACCATGGAAACTATTTCTACCTATCCGTATTTTGACGCAAACAAAGTGTATACATAAGGTTGACGATATCAGTTTCCTGACGTTGATTACGGTTGAATGAAGTAGGGCTACGAAAGCATGAAATCAGCGCAGTTAAATCTGATATTTGAAATGGCAGTGAATAAACAAATTATTCTATCCTGCTTTCTCCTTTTATTGTTTATTCATCTAAATAACAAAACATGTAATAACAACTTAAATCAAATGCAATAGTACTCACATCATTCCGTTCCGCACAAATACATTACCATTACTGACTAAGCACATATACGTCATAAACGCATTTTATAAGATACAAGAAACGATGTATGAATAAATAAGCGTATTGAAAAACATGGCACTAGAAAGGTTTTACTTGTTACAGAAAACATTGTACAAGCACTAGACTTAACATATTATGCACAGATATAGACTCTATCAATGAAAAATACTTCTAGCACTCCATTGTCCAAACACTAAATCTTACAAATTGCCCAATCTTATTCCTTTAGTTGACAAGTTCAAACTCAGTTTCCTTCGGAATTGTTTGGGTCAGATTTCATCAAAAAGTTTGTACTGGTTAGAAGATTTTGTTTTTATCGTTCCTGAAGATGTATGCAAACAAGCTAAATGTTTTCATGTTTTGTGTAAATGCGCTACTTTTTTAAATGTACAGGTAATTCACTTCTACAGAATAGTGACACTAATTAAAAAGCCAACATTTAATTGGATAATTAAACTGTTAATTAATCGCCAGTGACCGAGTGTTGTGTGAACAATGGACAGAGACACTGTAAATAGCCATGTGTTACGCACAGGTGACTTTCTACGCTGTATGTATTGACCAATTTCTTCAAAAGACGTGCCAATGTTTTGACAAAAAATTATTTTGAGACAACAAATGATTTTTTCCTTGCTTTACAATTGAAGCGACTGAAAAATCTCTTCTGCTCAAATGAAATTTCGAGCTAAAATTGCAAAGATATAGAAGGAAAAAGTCGGGACATGAAAATTATTTCCACTGAAACAGAATTTAGACTCAAGTGATTTTGAGACAACAAGTTTCAATTGTTATTTAAATGTGTAAATAAAAATTGAAGGTAGGAAATCTCAGAATTTTTCAATTGAATCCTACAATCACACTCATTAATGTATACTTCCTTAATAATTGACTAGAAATCACACTTTCATTTTAAGACTGTGGAGGCAGCATCTGATAAGGCTGCACAGAAAGTTTTTGGATCAAATTCAAAGTCTTCAGGAAAATCTCTCGGAAAGGTAGCATCATTGAAGTCAGTGAATCAACTCCGTGAACATGATGCTGCTCTTAGTGAAGGTAAAAGCTCCAACAAAATCAGTTTTTAAGCTGAAATACTAATGATAAAGTCCTGTATAACATGCATCTGAGGGTTGTCATACCGACGTAGAGTTGGGAATAAGTTGAGATTTCATAATTAATGATTCTGATCAGTCAATCAAAAACAGATGAGTTTTCTAGCAATAACCAGTTTGTTTATGTCTTTTAATTTACTCAAATTGTATTATCACCTACAGTTGTCAGTTAGTTTTTGAAAATACTTGATCACCAGCACAACTTTTGATCAGAGATGTGCATTTCCATTGGATGATTATTCGACATGTGATCTATAGAATGAATTATTAACCGTTACTTAGCAATGAATTATTAACCTTTACTTGGCAATGAATTGTCGTCTTCTAATTGTCAGAGAATTGTACTCCTTTTTCTTGTCAGTGTTTCATCATCATTTACTTGTCAATAACTTCTACCAGTTTTAACTGCAATCAGCCCAGAAACAAAGACACCAAATGCTGGTGTTTTTTTTTACAGAACAAAACAGTTGAATAATTATGGTTGTATTTTTTACCGGATATTGGACCATATATCATTTTTTGCCGAATAAATATTTGTGATCATCCTTTATATTCAAACATGTTGTAAAATTCTGATACTACATTTCTGGTACAATAGTAGACAGAATTTGATGTGGCTGATTGGTGTTGTATGGTTACCTCCCTTAGCACAAGATCTCCTCTCACAGTGGATGGAGGATAAAGTCCACCTACCAGATGACGATGAAGATTATTGGGAGGAAGATACGGGTCAAAGACGAGTTGTCCAGTCAGATGTGAAGCGTGAGTGGGATCACCTCCTTCAGAATAACTATGAGGAGCAGGGTTTGGTGAAACCACAACCAACCATCAATGGTCAGTACAAACATTAACAGCCAGTACAGGGAGTCCTGGAAACTCTGATGGAATACCCGCGAAAATAGTAGTATTGTTTCAGAAAATCCTTTACTTTCTTTCAATTTCCATATAACAAAATAGGTTTATTATCAGGTGTTAATTTAATCAATCTTTTCATCTGTTTGATATAAAGGTAAGATTTGTTTTCTGATACTGAAAGTATAGATTCTGTTAAAGTTATCTGCCCCTGCTACACAAGGTTTTGTACTTTCATTTTAGATACCGATCCATATGCCTTTCTCGCAGAACAAGATGAGGAGAGTGCTGTTGAATCCATCCTACAACATATGCTTAGTAAGAAATTTGTAAATGACAATGTTACCAACGATTTAGGGTTTAAGGACTTAAACAAGCCAGATCCTCGGACAAAAATGGAGCTTAGACACAAGCAGGTATTGGTTTTTTCTTACATATTTTTAACAAATGTATACCTAGAGTCTTAATCAGGTGGATCTAAGGGAACAATTTATGTCTCTAACACATTGAGACATTAGCTTCCATTAATCTAAATTAACATACATTTGTGATCAAATTGTATCATGCTATATTGGTATCACAGGTGAAAGAGAATAGAGAGAAACGCCAGCAAGAATTGGAAAGAAAGAAAAGGGAACACCAAGCAAAAAAGGATGCACATCACAAAGCTAAGCAGATTGTTCTTCAGGTAAGCTGTATGTATGTTTACTTCTTGTGTTTACCTATACAGGTAAGCTGTATGTATGTTTACTTCCTGTGTTTACCTATACAGGTAAGCTGTATGTATGTTTACTTCCTGTGTTTACCTATACAGGTAAGCTGTATGTATGTTTACTTCCTGTGTTTACCTATACAGGTACGCGGTATGTATGTTTACTTCCTGTGTTTACCTATACAGGTAAGCTGTACCTATTTACTCCCTGTGTTTACCTATACAGGTAAGCTGTACTGTGTTTACCTTTACAGGTAAGCTGTACCTACCTTACAGGTAAGCTGTACCCTCCCTGTGTTTACCTATACAGGTAAGCTGTACCTATTTACTCCCTGTGTTTACCTATACAGGTAAGCTGTACCTATTTACCTATTTACTCCCTGTGTTTACCTATACAGGTAAGCTGTACCTATTTACTCCCTGTGTTTACCTATACAGGTAAGCTGTACCTATTTACTCCCTGTGTTTACCTATACAGGTAAGCTGTACCTATTTACTCCCTGTGTTTACCTATACAGGTAAGCTGTACCTATTTACTCCCTGTGTTTACCTTTACAGGTAAGCTGTACCTATTTACTCCCTGTGTTTACCTATACAGGTAAGCTGTACCTATTTACTCCCTGTGTTTACCTATACAGGTAAACAGTACTTGTATCATGAACAGGACTTTTGTACACTTCTGGCCTGGATCTGTGGTGTTGTTAGTAATCATGTTGGTTATTGTTTTCAGGAGGAGAAAGACAAACTTTCAAAAGCTAAGAAGGAGGAAATGGAGATTTGAAAAGATCTGTGGTGTTGTTAGTAATCATGTTGGTTATTGTTTTCAGGAGGAGAAAGACAAACTTTCAAAAGCTAAGAAGGAGGAAATGGAGATTCGAAAAGAAATGGCTCGGATACGCAAGGACATGCAGGAGGAACGCCGCCAGCTAGAAGAACAAAGGACTAGGTAAAAGAAAATAATTTAACCAATGAGAATAAGTGAAGTTGAGGGTATAGGTCACATGACAGTTTCAACTTTCTTTTCCTTTAAGTCAAGAAAACTAGGATAATAGTCCATGAAGGAGACTAGGATAATCTTCATACTAACTCTGATAAATTACTTCATACTGAGTCTGATAAATTACATCATACTGAGTCTGATAAATTACTTCATACTGAGTCTGATAAATTACTTCACACTGAGTCTGATAAATTACATCACACTGAGTCTGATAAATTACATCACACTGAGTCTGATAAATTACATCACACTGAGTCTGATAAATTACATCACACTGAGTCTGATAAATTACATCACACTGAGTCTGATAAATTACATCACACTGAGTCTGATAAATTACATCACACTGAGTCTGATAAATTACATCACACTGAGTCTGATAAATTACATCACACTGAGTCTGATAAATTACATCACACTGAGTCTGATAAATTACATCATACTGAGTCTGATAAATTACATCACACTGAGTCTGATAAATTACATCACACTGAGTCTGATAAATTACATCACACTGAGTCTGATAAATTACATCACACTGAGTCTGATAAATTACTTCATACTGAGTCTGATAAATTACATCACACTGAGTCTGATAAATTACATCATACTGAGTCTGATAAATTACATCATACAGAGTCTGATAAATTACATCACACTGAGTCTGATAAATTACTTCATACTGAGTCTGATAAATTACAACACACTGAGTCTGATAAATTACATCATACTGAGTCTGATAAATTACTTCATACTGAGTCTGATAAATTACTTCATACTGAGTCTGATAAATTACTTCATACTGAGTCTGATAAATTACTTCATACTGAGTCTGATAAATTACATCACACTGAGTCTGATAAATTATTTCATACTGAGTCTGATAAATTACTTTATACAGTCTGATGAATTACATCACACTGAGTCTGATAAATTACTTCATACTGAGTCTGATAAATTACATCATACAGAGTCTGATAAATTACTTTATACAGTCTGATAAATTACATCATACAGAGTCTGATAAATTACTTCTCACTGAGTCTGATAAATTCCTTCATGCTGAGTCTGATAAATTATTTCTGATAAATTACTTCCTACTGAGTCTGATAAATTACATCACACTGAGTCTGATAAATTACATCATACTGAGTCTGATAAATTACATCATACAGAGTCTGATAAATTACATCACACTGAGTCTGATAAATTACTTCATACTGAGTCTGATAAATTACTTCCTACTGAGTCTGATAAATTACTTCCTACTGAGTCTGATAAATTACATCATACAGAGTATGATAAATTACTTCATACTGAGTCTGATAAATTACTTCCTACTGAGTCTGATAAATTACTTCCTACTGAGTCTGATAAATTACTTCATACAGGGTCTGATAAATTACTTCATACAGACTCTGATAAATTACTTCATACAGAGTCTGATAAATTACTTCATACTGAGTCTGATAAATTACTTCATAATGAGTCTGATAAATGATTTCATACTGAGTCTGATAAATTACTTCATACTGAGTCTGATAAATTACTTCCTACTGAGTCTCTGATAAATTACAACACACCGAGTCTGATAAATTACTTTATAAAGTCTGATAAATTACTTCATACAGAGTCTGATAAATTACTTCCTACTGAGTCTGATAAATTACTTTATACAGTCTGATAAATTACATCATACTGAGTCTGATAAATTACATCACACTGAGTCTGATAAATTACTTTATACAGTCTGATAAATTACTTCATACTGTGGCTGATGATTTCTCTATTTTACAAACCTTTAGACAGAAAAAGAGTCAGGAAGAAACGTATAACAAAGCTACTGCCTTAGTAGACAAGGAGGAAGCCAAATCCAATCAGGAGAGAGAGGAACTAGAGCGTGCAGAGGAACAGAGACGTAGAAAGATTATGTTAAAACTTGGACAAATACAGACGAGACAGGAGGCTGCGAACCTAAAGGTAAACATCAGTGGGTCAACTCAACCCCAACACCACTGTGTAAACGAAAGCTTATTTTTGCAAGACTTCAACAGTTTCTTGTACCAGGGAGGGTTACCTATCTCTATAGTTTGTTATACTCACAAGGAATTTGATATTTCTATATCAGCGGTTGTGACAGATAATGGGAAGTTAGACATCAAACAATTTGTCAATAAATCAAAATGAATGAATAAATGAAAACTTTTTTTTAATGGTATGATTTCTTTTGCAGTGTCTTCAGCGCCATTTTTCTGCCTGGTACAACATTGTACTTCAGCGTCGTCTACAGATTGGACGAGCTAAAGCCATCCATGACTGGAAACTCCTCCTACAAGCCTGGAATGCGTGGAAGGCATACATACGCTCACGACGAATCGATAGAGAGACTAAACAACATGAAATCTCTGTGATACAAACTCACAGGTACGACAATGATAACCATCAGCTTAGTGATATCTAAAGTGAAAATGTACAAGTTTACAACTAGATTATGTAGATAAAAAGTAAACAAATGATATAAACACTTAGATATCTTAAATTTGGCTGAAAATGACCCTGACTATCAACGGAATGTTAAATCTAAATCAATTAATTTTAGTAAATAGTTGCTCAACATCTTATAAAAAGACAGGGTCATTTAGGGAAGTGCAAGATTTGGTGATGGATGGCCGGAGTTTCTAAAGAAAAACCACTGACGTGCAGCCAGTACCTAGAGATTGCTCTATGGAGGGCTTGAACCAGAGTTAGAGGGCTAGTGATAAAGACAGTCACCTTAACCTCTAAGCCAACTGGTCACTGTATCAATCCATATAAAGGAAAGCTAACTTAATGCTAGATGTGGTTTAATTAAGGAAGAAGTACTTATGTTGAGCCTTTGTAGTGGAATCTGAAAGCATGTTAAGTTATCTGTAAGAAGTGGGAAACATTTCTTAAAAAGTTACAGTTTTCATCAAATAGGGAAGTTGTAAAAAAACCAACAAAACGTATGAAGGGAAGAATATCAAAATTCAATTACAAGGGAAAAGTAGGGATGAAGTCAAAAAGACGGCTTGATGGTATAAACTAGGACAGTAGCTGGATTTTAACTTAATTTTATTCGTTTTGGCAAAACAAAGACTAGAAAAAAACTGACTTCAATAATTATAGTTGATATTTCATTGTGTTTTTTTTTTCTGTATGCGATCAGGAAGACACAAGCAGCTGAGACACATTACAGGGTATGGTTACTAAGGAAGTACTTTGTTGCGTGGCAACTGTGGATTAAAGTAGAACAGGAGAGAAAAGGAATGGAACAAGCTCAAGAAAAAACACGCAACAAAATGGCTGCTTTACTAGAAGCAGCTGCCAAGGGGAAGCTTTTAGAGGGCGGTGATACTGATCGGCCGGACAAAGGTCAAAACAAAGTCGTCAAGGCTACTAACCTGGCAGTGGTATGTAACATATCCGATCCCCAATTTTTTTTCAAAGATTTTCATATCTACATCAGTATCTTAGCTCCCTGAAAATTAGTGTTACAAGCAAGAAGTGAAGAACAACACACATCAGATCTTCGCCTTATGCTATAATACAGGCCTCTAATGCCTGATCCATAAAGCCTCCAGTCAGGTTTTTCAGGCCAATGATATATTGACTGAGTACTTCAACCTAGATCAGGATCATTTAAACTATGGCCATGATTAATAATCTCTTGGCGTTGGAGAAACATATAGATTATTACTGAATCTATTTTGAGTCTTTAAACCTGTCTGTCTGTGACTGTTTCCAAGAGATGTAGATAAAAATCTAAGATTTGGAATTCTCCCTGGGTATGTGTTTTTCATAATTCTCCCTATGTAATGTGGAATGTTTAATTCATAATTCCTATTTTAAAGTACATGTTTATCAATCTCGCGCCTTTTGTTGTACAGTGTATTCAGCTGAATTATAATTACATTCTTGTTTATCATTTGCTTAATCACAAAAAAAACTACAGTTAGCACAATTATAATTGAAATTAATGGCTTATATTATAAAAGAGCTTTAAAATGAGATTATCACTATAATTGACACAATAATGAATTTACACAATCGGCAGTTAATCTATAATTGTGTCAATGTTCTAAAAAGTGATAAAAAAAGTTAATTTGGTTTATTTAAGTATGTTACTTAAAATGAGATATCTGAATCAACACTTCATTCCTTGAAGGATGCCTTGTTTGAGAACAATCAGCGACGACCTTTGACTTCAAGAAGTGATGTATCAACAGATGTTGGTCATGATTCTGCCAAAAAACCGCTGGAGCGAAACAGAATACCTACAGAGGCGTGGCAGGTTACCAAGCGACATCTTCAGCTGACCACTGATGAAATTGCTGGACTTGGGGGCGGAGATAACCAGGGGGAGCATCACTCAGACCAAAAAATACGCAACAGATTTGGGACCCAGCCATGGATGAACAGAAAATATATGCCAAATAGCTTTGAGAATCGTCACAATGCACAACAACGGATTCTGGAGGAGCAGCAACGACAGCTCAAGGAGCAGCAACGTCTGATAGAGGAACTACAGTTTAATCAAAAACAACAAGTGCTGGAACAACAGGGTAGTACACAGCGACAACTGGCAGAAAGAATAACATCTGGAAAGACAACACTTCTTACTGACAATAGTAAAACAACAGTAAAGAAATCACAGCAGCAACACAATGATCAAATAAACAATAAGCAAATCAACAACGGAAAACATGACAATAACGAGGGACGTTTTGACAGGTATTTTCTCGATAAATGCATTAATTCTCTGTTGGATTTTTTCATTGTTTTGTAACACAATATGAAGTTCATGGAGTTCATGTTAACTTAAGAACCTTTTTCTCTAGAAAATTTTTATTATAATTTACAAGTCTCAAGACCTTTGAAACTATTCAGATTTACAAAATATTAAGTTATCTGGAAAATGTTGGTCTATATTATAGACTATGACTTACCATTTTAATATTTTATGATGATATAACCATTTTAAATTTTTAGCATTTGTCTTTTACCTTTTATTTTTTTATTTGATGTTATTCCTTTTTGGATCACAGTGTCTGTCTCCAGTTGATGGCCCTAATGACCTTTTGTGTTGATGGGCTGGTATTTAATAAAAATGAAAAAAAAATGAACATTTTCATATCAAAATAACTGTAAGTCACTAAGCCCCTTATCTCCCAGGAATTTTTAATGAAACTGAAGAAAATCTGTCATTTTGTTCCAACATGAAGTTTCACACTTTTCCAGTCATCTTTTTCGTTAGCGAACCCTATACATTTAGAAACACCGGAATACAAGTTTTTTTAAAATCTTTTGACAAAAATTATGTTTTATCAATAATGATGTTACCATAGCAACCACAATTTTGAATATTTGAAAGAAATATTAATTTCCTATCATTAGCAAATGTTTTTGATGATGGAAATGAATCAAATATACTTCCAAATTTCATAGTATTGTGAAACACTCGAGTAGGAACCTAAAGATATGTTTATGCCAGCAATTTACTCATTCATGATTGTTGCCATGGTTACCAGCTCGTTTTCCAAATATAACATTTTATTAAGATTAGAAAATTTTATTTCTGTCTGCCCAAATTTCATTTCAAAGAAAAGGTTTGTATAACAAAATTAGTAGTTTAATCAACCACCACAATATATAAAAGGATTCTGAAAAAGTTTCTTTGTTGAAATTTTAGACCAGATTACTTTCTTTTTACATTTTAAATTTGCCATGGCAACCAAAATTGGAAATTTTTGAAAAATGTGAATTTCTGTTTATAAACATTTAACTTGTGAAGTGTTAATGAAAAGTTTTGTATTTTATGCACATTTTGTAAGTTCTGATCTATTGAAGAAGTGTTCTAAATGCAATTACAAGCATTATTGAATGTGTATTTTCAGATGTCAGGGTAGATAATTCAGTTTGAAAAACATAATAATTTACAGAAGTTTTGATTTACGTTGTTTCTTACAGTTTTTAATTATTGTTCTTCTGATGATTACAGCTGCACTGGTATTTTTAAAATTATGATACAGACAGTGATTATATTGTTCGTCAGATACAAACTATATGTAGTAGAAATATAATTTTTTTTAACAAGTCTATTCTGTTTGTGTTTAATTGTCGTGATGGCCAATAAGTTCAAACTCAGTCATTTGAATGTTTAGGCATTCCACTTGTGGGGTTTCATTTTCTGTGTAAATACAATAAAAGGTATATAGGATAATAACAGACACTAGTAAAAATATTAAACATATTACTAAAAATTAGACACAGCTATACTCAAAATATGTTCATTGTAGTAAGTAATGAAAACATATATCTATACATTTCTATCAAAACATTTTGTCTTTCAGAGTAATAATATTATTGCTAAAGCCATGATGGTGTTTCCAAAACTAGTTACTTGTATCAGATTGAAGCATTTTAATCTTAGCACTTACTAGAAGTTACAAACAACAACACATAATTTAGATGAAATAATTTTAATTTTGCATAAAGCTTCGTACAAATAAGTGGTAAAGTGAACGATAAGTGAAGAATGCAGGCTCTGATGACACTTGACTTGGATGTTCCAGTATCATCACACTTTGTCCATGCTACAGTAGGTCAGTGTTGATACCTAAGATTAATATTTACAGAAAAAAAATTAATATAAGACATCCATTTGTTCACTTATGAACATTTCAATTAATACTTCATCTCAAAATAGTTGAAAGTTTGAATAAAATAGAAATGCAATGTTCATATCACAAGCTGTATCGCATCAGCTGCACATGTACTAACAAATCTGTTGACAGTTTGTTTAGGAATATTGATATCAAAATCATCAAATGTATTATTAGTCAGTTCCTTTATGGATAGCAATTCAGACAATTCAAATTTTACATGTACACATATACCAAAAACACTATGATCGTAATCACACAGGTGTTTGCTCCAACACACGACGTCAACTAACTCTGATGTTTGTTCATGTACAATCTGAATGATTTCGAAAATTTGTGAATTCTTTCTTTGGTATTTTCTGAATGTAAAAAGATGTATTTTGACTAATTCGAGTGAAATCTCTTGTTTTTTATGAATATATATGTGGAATACAAACTGGACCCTTGAATAGACATTTACATACACTGTGCACACAACGTCGTCATAACGGGAAAAAATGCCTCGTATTTTCAACTCGTAAAAATGCAGGAAGTGTTTTTCAAAACCAAATTGATTAAGAACAAAAGTTGTTCAGTGTTTTCTCTAGTTTCCAGAGATATAACCTGATTGATACTTTCACAAATAAGGGAGATAGGACAGTGTTCCCTACATTGATGTCATAAGGCATAGAAATGCGTAGAAATGCGTGGAAATGCATAGAAATGCATAGAAATGCGTAGTTGGGAGTTTAGGGGTTGGCTGAATTTTAATGTTGTTTCATTAATATAGTACATATATAGAGACAAAACAGTAAATACTGTTAAATCATCAATTTTCATGAGGGATTTATATCTTTTAATTTACAAATTCATGTTTCCAAATATCAAAATAAGTATTTGAAGTAGATTTATTAAGCTATGTTTTTCTTTGAAAAAAGTGGTATTTTTGAAAACCCACAAAAATTGAGCTCTGTAAAAATTAATGATTTTTAATTTAAGCTTAGTTCCTTTTGTCTTCACAATGCAGTCATTTGGTAATCTCTGTCACATTATTTCTTAGTTAAATCAAAGTTCCAAGTTCTCAAATCAGGAAACAGCTGGTTTTGTAATTATCTTTCTAATAATATGTTCTTTTTCAGCAGTGCTCTTGATCCTATGACAGAAAGGTCAGAGGTCACAGAACAATCAGAGGTTACAGCAAGGTCAGAGGCCACATCTGCAGTTAGTTCTACAACCAACAAGAATAACACTAAATACCTGACTGTTTTGAAAAGTGAGTAATTCTGTTTTAAAGTTGGATTATACACATAACTGTGTACATATGTATATATATATTAGATATATGACAGCCATCATTTACTAAATATCGTTAAGATTTTATGGTCCACCAACTCGGATTTTAAATTGAGAGAATGTCACAGCAATTAAAAGTGTTAAGATATTCAAACAATTTTTTTTAATGGCAAAATGTCTTAAAACAATGATTATTTTGACTGCAGCATTTTGGTATGAAAGGCTTCAAAATTTGTTTAAAATGAATGACCTTGAACCATTTTCAAGGTCATTGGGGTCAAAAGTGTTGTTATTTTGAAACAACTTTAACTATTTACGGACAGCTTACATACAGTATGGAAGGGGTATGATTTTTGTGCTTTATATAAAAAAGTTACCAGAATTAATCAAATGATTTCTGTATAAGATGAAGAACGTGTAAGCTATACAAATGTATTCTCTCACAAAGAATCTCTAAAATATTGGCTACAGTGAAAACCTTCAGAATTAGGGTCCTTCTTATTGCTTGGATTATTTTAGATTTTACACAAAGTTGTTTTTCATCGCCATTTCCAGAAATGTATCGAGTCAATTGGTAAGACTATATTTTTTTATACATTTAGATATGGAAGCTCGAGCAGCAGAACGAGGCCGTCTCAAGGCAGAAAGGGAAGAAAAACGCAGACTAGCTGAGGAGGAAAATTTGGTATGATAAAGACAGTTCAGAGTTTATAAGTTGTACAAGTAAACAGCATTAAATGAAAAAAAAACATTTGTTTTACATATCGATAGTTTTTTATTTATTTACAGAAAAAAATAGTAGACTCATTTAGTGGATGTTATGCCCACTGAAAACAGCTTGACAATTGATGGAATAGCAAAGTGGCTGATACAAATGTTGTTGGAAGGTTTTGAACATCAGGATATAAACAAGATGGTTCAATGATAACATCATTTTGTGAGATGTTTTAAATATATTTCATGTTTCAATTCACAGAAATGTATCGAGGTGTTTAGTTTATAGAAAATAAATTGATTAAATTAAAAAATTAGAACAAATACAAAATTGTATCCATTCATTGTTAACCATGTACTCCAACGCATCAGATAGGCTTAATGTTGTTCAGAATTAATTTGTCTGCCAATTAGAGATTGAATAACATGAGATCTGATTCTTCTTTGCACAGGAATCACAATATTGATATATATCATACACCTTTTTTTAGGATTTTTTGTTATGTGTATTCTTTTTTGGTTTTGTTTTTTGTTCCTAAGTAGAAAAAATAGGTCAATTATACTTTTGTTACAATATAACAAGTTTATTTTTAGAATTACAAGATGTCCAGATTGTCTCCGTTGACTTATACACATTATTTTTCCGCTTGTTTTTTGTGTTGATAGAAACGCCTAAAGGCCGAGGAGGAATTGTTGTTACAAAAAGATGCTGAAGAGAAGAGGGCTCGCATTGCTGCACATCGAGAGAAGAAACGACTAGAAAAAGAGGTAGTTCATTGTCAAAGTTGAAAGGAATAATTAAGGGGTTAGTGGTCAAATTACTGAAAATTAGGCAGTCTGAATAAAGGTTAGGGAACTGCTGAGTGAACAAAGAAGTAAGTTTGTGGTCTTCTGTAGGTCAGAGTTCAGTAATGAGTACACAAAGAAGTAGCCTGGAGGTCAGAGGTCAGTAATGAGTAAGCAAAGCTTCAAGGTCAGAGTTCAAACGAGTTGAAATAATTTATATGGGTAAAGTGTCTAACATTACAGTCAACTGTGGTCTCCACAATATAAATTCCTGAATAGTTTTGTTGGTCAGGAAGAGATAAACACACTTACAAGATGAGTTCTCTCTGGGATATAAGTCTCATAGTGATAACCTGTCACACCGTTTGTTTGATATTGGTGTTTGGAGGATACAATCATGCTACTGTGTTTGCTCTTGAATCTTACAGAAGCATGAAGACTTAAGTTTTCATGACACACACAATTACATACCATTGCTGGGTATGGAGTGATGGATATTGTCACATAGATCCCGCAGGTCTAATCAGTCCTTAGTTGAATGGATTTCCATTCATCATGTTGTCCATTCCGATAATAATTTTCTTTTTAATAAGCAAAACTTTTGTTAAAGTGGATCATGTGGGCCTCCTGTTTTGTTTTACAGAAAGAAATACAGAAACAGCTTAATGAACAACGCATGAAAGAACTTACAAGTAAAGCTAACAGTCACTACTTACGGGCCACTCTCAAGTTTCGTTGCTTGGGGCCATTCCAGAAGCTGGTGGAGATGGCAAGGAGGAACGAGGTCAAGGCTGTACGCCATCACAACAACAATCTGAAAAGGTGAAGAATCTGATAGGTATTGTAACCAGATTTATGGAAGAAAAATTGTAGAATAATTAATGTTTTTCAGCACAAATTTTTAAGGATCTCGATGATTTGGTATCTGTCAGTATTGATTTCATTATGTTGTGAGGGTTCAGTTAAGTGTATACAGTAACTTAACCAGGTACACCTACACACGTTGTGTGTACTGTTTGCTTTCTTCCCTTTCTTCAAACCCACACAGTTTGTCTCCTACATGTAGACATACAAACTACATCCAAAATTCACTTAGTAAATTGATTTGAAGATTCAAGCTATTTAAGATAATAGGACAAAACTTTAATGCTGAAAATGATAACAGGTTCTACTTATCAATGGATTAATGATTTCAGAATTTAGTTATTTGATCTTTTGAAAGAATCACATCAACACTTGTGATAATGCTGTAATTACATTTAATGTTACCTTTTTTGACAAAACTTTTGTTGTCCTGACTTCTCACATAAACTAAACTCCCATAAACTTTATGTGGGGACTTTTTAAGTGATATCTCTTCCATCCCAAGGTATTCTAAAAGGTTACTACCTATAGAATTTAACAGATATTTTCCTTGAATTATTGGCAGGAAACTAAACATGGGACAGAAGTGAACTATTTCTGAGTCCTGGAGTCAGTTAGATGTTTTACTGATAAGCTCTATTTATTTTGTGACTTTTGTTCACAACAAAGCCTATAAACCAACCCAAATCGTTAGGAAATGTGTCAAACCTTTGATAAAGTAAGTTGTCATACAGATGATTAGGAATAACGATATTTCTACATGAATCATTTAAAATATTGTAAAAATCCTAACGTAATATGTAAGATGGTTACAGTTGTTATTTTATGTATAGATATTGATAACTTTTACAGACAAGCATTCCTGAACTGGCGTTCCAATGTCAAGGCCATCATATCTGAAAAGGAGGCTATGGCAGACCAGATGTATAAATACTTTCTCATCCGTCACTTCTTCTCTAACTGGAGAAATGTAAGATACACGACTAACTGGGTTTTTCAGTAGAGGTTGTATGTAAGGCACTCACACTTTATATGGTTTTGTTTTTTGGGGTTCTTCACTTCAGAACATGAGGGTGTGAAAAAATTGAGATTAATTAAACAAATCTGCTTTTAGTAATTAAATAGGAATTGAAAATTAATTATGTGTAATCAAAGGGACAGTTGTACATACTGTGTTAAACATTATTATCTACTGATAACAAATAAAATGATGAGTTGTAAAAACTTTAAGAAGATTAATTCCTCCTCAACCACTTATTATATGTTTTTACAGTTTAAACACCACACAACTATTATGGAGGGACGTGCACGGCGTATCCATGAGCGTAACACCAAGTGTAAGGTTTTTCAGGCATGGCATGAGTACACACATGTGGAGAGAGAGAGGGCTGTGGTACACAACCAATTGGCTACGGATCACTATAGACAGTAAGTTAGAATTATATCAGACATATACACACAATGAAACCTAATCATGATATCTGACTGAAACTGTTTTGAAGTATAATGATTGAATCAAAAGCCTTTGAATTTTCAATTTTAATTTAAATGAAATCTCAAACTTTTGGTTAATGTCTTAATTCTATGCCGCTTGCCAAGTCTTACGTGTGTCAGTAGTTGGCATATCAATTAATTGGCTTGTGATGAGTCATTCACCGTTAAACATTTTTTTATTGGACTGCATTGACCTTCTGTCTACTCGAGAATGTTTTTATCGTAACATTAGATGTCTAAAATCCCATTTTGAGACTGTTGAGATTTGTAAAATTCTACATTACCTGGAAGATGTTGGTCTATATCATAAACTATGACGTACCATTTTAATCTTTTGTGTAAACATACCCATTTAAGATTTTTAACATTTATCTTTTACGTTTTGGTTTGTTTAATGTTATTTCCTTTTGGATCGCTGTGTGTTTTACTGTTTGATGGCCCTAATGACCTTTTATGTGTTGGAGGGCCTTTAAGAATGTAATAATAATAATGATATTGACTATGTTTATACCTGAATTTTTGTAAATCATGGTCATGTCTGATCTGTGTGAAAGAATTGTATTGGTGACATAAGTCTGTGATCTCTCGTCAAATTCATAAACATTTCTTTTTATTGCTATTACTCCAGAAGTACTGGATGGATCTTTCCCAAATTTTATACCTGGCATGTTCCTCTTGGTCCTCGGTTGTGCCAGTTTGATTTTGGAACTGATCAGAAGAACAAAATGGATCTTTCTCAAATATTATACGTTATGTAGGTTCCCCATAGTCCTTAATTGTGCCATTATTATTTTGGGATTGAGCAAAAAAACAAAAGGTAAACAGGCAGCCATCTTTGATTTTGACAATGAAAATTTGATAATGTTATTTCTCGAGATGTACAGGATGGATCTCTCTTGAAATTTTTTGCACACGTTCCCCTTGCAGGACTGATAAGAAATCAACATAACTGAGGGCCATCTTGAATTATGCCTATGAAATTTTTTTGCTGTTATTTCTTCACAAGTACAAGATAGTTCTTTCTCTAATTTGATATGGAGGTTCCCCTTGGTCCCGAGTTGTGTCTGTCTTTCTGTTTTGGGACTGAACAGAAAAACAAAAGTGAAATGAAAATGACATACACTTAGTAACCATAGTCCATAATATGGCTTTAATGAAAAATGTTTTCATTTCTCTTTGAGGATTTTTGGTAAATTGTAAAATGTTGAGCCACAACACCTTACACAATTGTATTTAACTTCATCATTTAAATCCATTCAGTTGGTACAGAGTTTACTTCTCACTGTTGGTGTCTTAAGCTATTTAATTGTTTTACCAGGTCTCTGCTGAGAAAAGTATTCCAGACAATAAAGGATTATCCATCAACACGCAAGAAAGAGATCGAACGAGAGAAAAGACGAGCTGAGATGAGACAAAAGGTCGCAGCAATGATACCTGATTACGAGGCCAAAGAGATGAGGAAAAGTTCAGCAGATTTCTCCTGATTAAGTCTAAAGAAATTTTAGCAAATTTTCTGGTTATGTCTACAAAACAAAAATAGTGTACTATAGGCTTTTGATGCAGATATAATTCCACAGGTTTCTTTAGACTTCAGAGCTAGGAAATAATCAAATTGTCTGATATCAGTGGAAACGTATTACTCTGGATAAACAGATAGTAGTTGTTTAAATACCCTCACCATAAATAGTTCTAAATATTTATCTTAATGAAATCTTAAAAACGTGTATCCACCAAGTTAAAGGATGTATCCACCAGGTTAAAGGATGTATCCCACAGGTTAAAGGATGTATCCACCAGGTTAAAGGATGTATCCACCAGGTTAGAGGGTGTATCCACCAGGTTAAAGGATGTATCCACCAGGTTAGAGGGTGTATCCACCAGGTTAAAGGATGTATCCACCAAGTTAAGGATGTATCCACCAGGTTAAAGGATGTATTCACCAAGTTAAGGATGTATCAACCAGGTTACAGGATGTATCCACCAAGTTAAAGGAAAGATCCACAAAGTTAAAGGATGTATCCACCAGGTTACAGGATGTATCCACCAAGTTAAAGGAAAGATCCACCAGGTTAAAGGATGTATCCACCAGGTTAAAGGATGTATCCACCAAGTTAAAGGATGTATCCACCAAGTTAAAGGATGTATCCACCAGGTTACAGGATGTATCCACCAAGTTAAAGGTTATTAATACTGAAGCTGTTCCTAGAGGATATACAATGTTAATTGTATCGTTAATCCAAGTCTTGATACGTAATTTTAATGGCACGGTGAAATGATTGTTGCTGAATGGATTGTTGTTTCTGCTTAATAATAGGTGTATTAGCAGTTAGAAATTTTACATATCAATTTCATAAATTATTAATTAGTATTTCTGTGTTATATTTTTTGTTTGTCCTATGCTGCCCACTATAAGGGACATGGAGAATCCTGTATTACACTATGTGTTCATAGTCCACAACTAAGAGTGGTCCCCTGTGGAATTGGAGGGCATCTTTCGGATATTCTATTAATAGAACATTGAAGAGACCAGAATATATCTGCTGCCTCCATTACAACACCTGAATTCTCTCTTTCCTAACTTCCTCTTTCTACATTCCACTCATGGTGTCCTCATTGATACCTGTCCTAATATGACCACCTTTGATGCAATGCAGAAAGATAACGTACAGCTGTCCATGAACATCATTTCAGAAAAAGTATATTGTGGCTAGTATTTTACCAGGGTTATATACTCTCCCTCCAGGAAATAACTCGTTCTGGCCATTCCAGGTGTTACAATTAAGCTCATGAAAGTGATACTCAATATTATTCTCTAGTCCCTGCATGGCTGCCAGTGTAATAGAGGTCACTTTTCATTTCAATGACTCCATTAGGACTCGAATGCAGGACCTCTGGTTACTATCCATACTCTCACCTGATCAGACTATAGAGATCTCTCTAGCCGAGAAGTGTATGGTGGCTAGTATTTACCAGGTTTACGTACTCCCCATCCAGGAAATAGCTTAATGTGTCTCAAGTTCCTACCCGACTGAGCTTATAGAAGATCTCTCTAACCAAGCAATGTATTTAGTATTTTACCAAAGTAGTGAATACAAATGATCCTACATCTTTTGAAATTATTTTGTTCAGAATTTGAAAATGTAGAAAATGACTTTTGATTACAGATCCATATACAAGTTTTTCAGATATTAAAGGTATCAATCTTACAGATATAAATACTTGAATTCAGCTCCTAGTTAAAATTTACATGTTATCAAAACCTTGTGTAGGCTTCATCACCATAAATATAATGAATGGGTCTGTACAATAGTAAAAACAAAGCTTTTTTTCAGTCCCAAACACCATATCAGAATATTTCCGAGTGATGGCATTTTTAAGTTTACACTGTCAACCACCATACATGTATATCGCTTTGTGAATCTCCTGTCAAATTTCCTCTTCCTATTCCATCACATTTTTATTTCATGTGACAGAGTACACAGAAGTACTTGAAAAGAACCTATCACTGTTTAATAAACAGAAGTAATTCAATAGACCCTATCACTGTTAAAAAAACAGAAGTTGATAAATAGACCCTATCACTGTTAAAAAAACAGAAGTTGATAGATAGACCCTATCGCTGTTAAATAAACAGAAGTTGATAAATAGACCCTATCGTTGTTAAATAAACAGAAGTTGTTAAATAGACCCTATCATTGTTAAATAAACAGAAGTTGTTAAATAGACCCTGTCGCTGTTAAATAAACAGAAGTTGATAAATAGACCCTATTGCTGTTAAATAAACAGAAGTTGTTAAATAGACCCTGTCGCTGTTAAATAAACAGAAGTTGATAAATAGACCCTAAACAGAAGTTGATAAATAGACCCTATCGTTGTTAAAGAAACAGAAGTTGATAAATAGACCCTATCGCTGTTAAATAAACAGAAGTTGATAAATAGACCCTATCGCTGTTAAATAAACAGAAGTTGATAAATAGACCCTATCGCTGTTAAATAAACAGAAGTTGATAAATAGACCCTATCGCTGTTAAATAAACAGAAGTTGATAAATAGACCCTATCGCTGTTAAATAAACAGAAGTTGATAAATAGACCCTATCGCTGTTAAATAAACAGAAGTTGATAAATAGACCCTAGCGCTGTTAAATAAACAGAAGTTGATAAATAGACCCTATCACTGTTAAATAAACAGACGTTGATAAATAGACCCTATCGCTGTTAAGTAAACAGAAGTTGATAAATAGACCCTGTCGCTGTTAAATAAACAGAAGTTGATAAATAGACCCTATCGCTGTTAAATAAACAGAAGTTGATAAATAGACCCTGTCGCTGTTAAATAAACAGAAGTTGATAAATAGACCCTATCGCTGTTAAATAAACAGAAGTTGATAAATAGACCCTATCGCTGTTAAGTAAACAGAAGTTGATAAATAGACCCTGTCGCTGTTAAATAAACAGAAGTTGATAAATAGACCCTCTCCCTGTAAAAGTTTGGACTTCATACTAGAAGGACACTTAATATTCCATAAACATTTTTTGTCTTCAAAACAACAAGCTGACACCATGAAAACTGAAGGGAAAAATTGAAATTCTTTAATGGATAATATATCACAACAAATTTCTCTCCATTGTCATTTTCAATACATTTTATTTTACATTTAATTGACAGATTTGAAATATTAAATATGTGAACATTTCAATCATTCTTCTAACTCCTACAATATTCATACTATAATACTGGAAAATTCTAGTCATACTGTTCTTTCTGAGTTTCCACCACACAAATACCTTTACAACCTTCAAATTATCCCTTTTATTTTAACCACCCTACTCCAGCTGTAACATGATTTCTAGGTTATTTTTTCAGCTGTAGACAATTCTAAAGGCTTCCTTGTTTGTAGAACTAATTACATGAAAAATGGTTACTATGTAATATGCTTAAACAACTAGTTATTCCTGAGACTTGTATTGTATGGTACTTTCAGAGTTTTGATAGAACTTGACAAATTTCTTAGATATTTAAATTTGACATTGTGGAATCCTTTGTTTTTAGAAATCGAGTTTTAAAAAATATAAAAATAAATTGTACATTTATCAATGGACTGAAATTTCACAACAATCAAGAGTGGATTCAAACTAACAAAACAGGTTTACCACGGGTTACTGATAAAAACCTCATCGATTTTTCTTCACAACAGAAATTTTCGGAATGAAATGATAGATGTATAGAGAAACGATTTGCATGTAGATATAGTACCAGGTTACCAAAAATATGTAAACATGTTTCAACTTGAAGATAGATTTCTCGTTAATGCCCAATAATACAAATAGTACATGTATCTTATTTATAAAATGTCCTACTGATCATATTCACAATGTATCTTTTCCTGTTATGACATGAGGTTTGTAATCAATGAATTTAATGTTTATTGAAACAAGTCGCAGGACTGAACCATCATATAATTCTAGATATTAAACGGTATCACAGTAACAAAGAATGGTATACACATACAAACTTTATACGTAATTGAATGCTTAAACACACTTCCACATTCTCTAAAGGTTAAACGTTGACCAATTTGGTGGACATATTAACCAAAATTATTTTAATTATATACAAATAATATATTTTATCCAATAACAAGTCAAAGTACATGGAATCTTATTCAGTAGCATTGTTAGAGGACAGTAAGGACGGACATATTACCAATTACAGACAGATTACTACAATATATAATGATACACTGCCCATATTTATCATTCATTGTAACAATCTCTGTCATTGTGTTTTACATTGAAAACATTGATATCAACTCTCATCTCTAGATATGTTCTGACAAATCTCTTCATCATTTCAGAATTTGCCTGCATGAAAAATGGCGTTATGACACGGTAAAACCTTGTGTAGGAGCAAAGCACATTCAGTCAATCACAGTACATCTGTGTAGTGATTTTAATATCATATCTTTCTGCACTCCAAACCATTCACACTCTAGTACTCCTGTCTGGACTTCAGACCAAACAACTTTGGATGTGGTTCCAGTCTTTCTGACCAATGGTCACTATCCAGACATGCCTTATAAGTAGCCTGACAGAACACTTGCCGGACTGACAAATACTACATGTACTGGAGTTGAGGTCAAGATCCTTCGAAAATATATATATATATTCTATAGAAATAACTGCATACCACAATATTCCATAATTGTCTGTGAAAAGACACTTTCTAATGAAAAATCCTGGTCTATCACAGGCTCAGAAAAAGTACCTTAATGACAATATAAAACCTTGTCATATTAGCATCATTTACTCGGGTTTTTTAGCACCTCCTCATTCAGAAATTATCATGATGATGGACCTCTTCTATGTGCGTAGCCGACGAAGTGGTTTGGCATAGTGTGGCTCCATGACGTGTGTTGTTAAGTAGGCCACCAATCCAATTAACAGGAAGAGGCCACATCCAGCAATCAATAAGGAACGATAGATGATGGAATAGTCATAAACCTGTTAAAAAAATCTTTGTTGTTAAATGTGACTAAAGAAAATTAGTTTCAGCTAAAACAAGAGCACAAACACTGTATTGTACACAGGAAAATTGTCACCTTAAATTAACTTTCACCCTTTTATCAATTAAACAAAAACTTAACTTTCACCCTTTTATCATTTAAAACAAAACTTAACTTTCACCCCTTTATCAATTAAACAAAAACTTAACTTTCACCATTTTATCAATTGAACAAAAACTTAACTTTCACCATTTTATCAATTGAACAAAAACTTAACTTTCACCCTTTTATCAATCATACAAAAACAAAACAGTGACAGAAATTTGATGTGAAAGCTAAAACATATGTTACACATTTAAAAATGAATTAAACACTGGTGAAGACAACTATATGATGGGATGGTGAAATAACCCTGAGTAAATGTTTCTAGGTGCAGTGTACAAATAAATCTCATTGTAAACCGTGTTAGGAAATGAAAGTTACAAATGAAGGAAATAAACAAAGGTCATTTTAACGTTCCATTCTAATATTACAATTACTTGATATATTGTTGATTTTCCTTTGTGTCTAAAATCATACTTGTAATGATTCCATTAGGTTACAACACCTGGAAATCATTCAAGTTAGGATTCTTTTTGGTCAAAGCTTTGTCACAACATTGACAATATGCTGGGTGTGTATAGCAGTGTAGATAAAAAGACAAAATTTAGATAATGAGATATTGGCCAGTTAGATTTGAGAGACCTAGTGCCTCTTCCAGGATTATCAAGATGAATGGTTTCTCCATACCACAACCAACTCCTCTTCAGATGCCGTACGTGGTTCCCTCGGTAACACCACCAGTATAAGTGTCAGGAAAGCCGCCAGAAGAAATGTCACAATACCAAGGTTTCTGCAGAGAAAAAACAATAAATTATCACAATACCAAGGTTTCAGTGGAAAAAAACACAAGATACTGTCACACTGATGACGAGGTATATTGACACTCATTATATACTGATGACAAGGTATACTGACACTCATTATATACTGATGACGAGGTATACTGACACTCATTATATACTGATGACAAGGTATACTGACATTATATACTGATGACAAGGTATACTGACATTATATACTGATGACAAGGTATACCGACAATCATTATATACTGATGATGAGGTATACTGACATTATATACTGATGACAAGGTATACTGACAATCATTATATACTGATGACAAGGTATACTGACACTCATTATATACTGATGACAAGGTATACTGACACTCATTATATACTGATGACAAGGTATACTGACAATCATTATATACTGATGATGAGGTATACTGACAATCATTATCTACTGATGACAAGGTATACTGACAATCATTATCTACTGATGACAAGGTATACTGACAATCATTATCTACTGATGACAAGGTATACTGACAATCATTATATACTGATGATGAGGTATACTGACACTCATTATATACTGATGACGAGGTATACTGACAATCATTATCTACTGATGACGATGTATACTGACAATCATTATATACTGATGATGAGGTATACTGACACTCATTATATACTGATGACGAGGTATACTGACAATCATTATCTACTGATGACAAGGTATACTGACAATCATTATCTACTGATGACAAGGTATACTGACAATCATTATCTACTGATGACAAGGTATACTGACATTATATACTGATGACAAGGTATACTGACAATCATTATATACTGATGACAAGGTATACTGACAATCATTATCTACTGATGACAAGGTATACTGACACTCATTATATACTGATGACAAGGTATACTGACACTCATTATATACTGATGACAAGGTATACTGACAATCATTATCTACTGATGACAAGGTATACTGACATTATATTCTGATGACAAGGTATACTGACACTCATTATCTACTGATGACAAGGTATACTGACATTATCTACTGATGACAAGGTATACTGACAATCATTATATACTGATGACAAGGTATACTGACAATCATTATATACTGATGACAAGGTATACTGACAATCATTATCTACTGATGACAAGGTATACTGACATTATATTCTGATGACAAGGTATACTGACACTCATTATCTACTGATGACAAGGTATACTGACACTCATTATATACTGATGACAAGGTATACTGACAATCATTATATACTGATGACAAGGTATACTGACAATCATTATATACTGATGACAAGGTATACTGACAATCATTATATACTGATGACGAGGTATACTGACACTCATTATCTACTGATGACAAGGTATACTGACACTCATTATCTACTGATGACGAGGTATACTGACACTCATTATATACTGATGACAAGGTATACTGACATTATATACTGATGACAAGGTATACTGACAATCATTATATACTGATGATGAGGTATACTGACAATCATTATATACTGATGACAAGGTATACTGACACTCATTATATTCTGATGATGAGGTATACTGACACTCATTATATACTGATGATGTGGTATACTGACACTCATTATATACTGATAATGAGGTATACTGACACTCATTATCTACTGATGACAAGGTATACTGACAATCATTATATACTGATGACAAGGTATACTGACACTCGTTATATACTGATGACGAGCTATACTGACACTAAATGAGGTATACTGTTTGACTGACCAAATGCATCTCATGTTTGCATTCACTCAGTAGAACTCTGGACAATATTGTGGAAAGCCTCTGTGGACTTCTATATTGTATCAGTATCCTGATAGTTTGATGTGACTGGCATTAATATTCAAGGATATGGTCAGTTAAGTTGCAATGTTGCATAGCTAGCTTTTATGGATGTGTGGCTGAGTGGTGTGTTGACGTACCAAAGTTAAGTAACATCGAGTCAAGGTGAATGGCACATGGATGGGTGCACAAAGCTACCCATGTTACATGATGGAAAGCACAATATTCCTATAGAATTCTTGGGGATTATATATTTGAGAGTCAAGTCTTTAGGTGACATAGTTTGAAAGGTTTTGAGTATCTATCCACAATTTCATTTACGTCTTGGACACAGACTTCTACTTCTAATGATAATGACCAACTTCAACAAGTTGAAGATAATGTCATTAGACAGAAGGAGATCTACCTTAAAGAAAAAGAAAGAATATATGTATATAACCAGACTATAAGAAATTGACTGCATCCAAGACAAAAATAAAACTGTGGATAGATAGTCTGAACATTCTCCTAGCGAAGGCTCTACCATGACAAGAGATGTGTATGCAGAGGATGTCTGGTTGAACCTAAAAGAGCTTCAGCTCATTGATAAAGTGCGTAATGTGATGGTTCATGGGCAGCATTTCAGCTGTATAATCCAGCAGCTACTAGCTTTTGGGGTTGTTCGGCTGAGTGTAATATCAGTGCAATGAATTCAAGTATACTCTGCACTAGGATGAGTGATTGCTCTGTTGTATATTCTGTGCACGTGGTACTAGCAAGCATTTTTAAAACTCCCTACCAGTGTGAATTTCATCCAAGATGACCACAGTTGCATGCAATATATTTTAAAAAGTCAATTTTATTGTAACACAATTTACCAAGTCCCTGTGGTTTCACTCAAGTCTTAGTCTGAACTATAGATCATTTATAAGCAAACATATTTCAAAACTACATCCCTCGATCCCGTTATAGATAAACATGCAACATACAACCAGATCTTCCAAACACTGTCCTGCAGACTATAACTCCCATTTAATCAGAAAGTGTCAACCAATGCTGACCTCATAAAGATACCACGATCTCCTCGTTTTATTGTGTTGAAAAATTAACGGTAAAAAGACTGTATCTGGTATGTTACTGAAAGTAAAGACAGATAATGTGATAATATGTGGTGTAGGGTCGTCTTGTCCTAACCTGTCATGTACTGAGCGGGTCAATTCTATAAGATTTCTTTTTAAAACTTACGATATAGGTCCTTGAGCTCGGGACAAGGCCACACATAGAAATAATGCAAGGCCCCAGACAATGCCAAGCACCATCACACCTATCCCTACCCCCGCGACGAGGGCCATTTTTCCTCGAGTCCGGTTCCTCGATTCTAATGTCAACAAATATGGCTGATCCCACTCCCGTAACAGAAGCTAGATTTGATTGGACAGACTCTGCGAAATCGAGCCAATCAGCTTCTACATTACAAACCAATGGGTGCGTTCGATGAATCATGATATTCATATTAGCAATTGTTTTCAACACTCATCATTAAAACTATAATTGAACTTAATATGTAAATTACAACCTCTGTATTAGACATAAACCATGCATCAAGCTGACGGTTTCCTTTTAAAGCTTATAATGTAACATTAAAACATGCAGCTCCGTAAACTCATACCTTATACAACATACTAAACTCCAAACACTCGGGCACATAAATAATTCTGAATTAGGATTAGAGATGAACAGTCCGCTATCTATCCAGTCCTACCCTAACGAAAGACATAGCATGTACCTCTATTTCAGACTGATTACATAACTCATCCACAGAAGGTTCTATTTCTCATCTCATGTGTATTTTACAGAAGGTTCTATTTCTCATCTCATGTGTATTTTTTCCAGATACAAATCAGGTGTTTTCTTTACAAATTTCTACACCACACTAAAGAAAATTAATTCAATCTCATTTCCATGGCTTTACATCTCAACCGGAATGATTACACCTTAAATGGACCCCATTGGAAATAAGCCTATTTTATAGGCTTTATGGGTAATCCAAGGCCAAAGGCATTTTCATCTGGTTTTATCAAATTTCTCTCTTTTTTATTGATATTTCTAAAAATTTCAACTATTTTACTTAGAAGATTTGCAAGCACAGTGTAATTTAATTTCTGCGATACTAGTTTAAACTGTGATATTTTAAGGTATGTGAAATTCTTCTGTGATATCTTATATTTTATAATTAATAATTTTAAGAAATCCACAATAATTTATTACTGATTTTAATTGTTATGGAATTGCTTATGTAATATTTGTAATGTGTAATTTTATTATGCCTTTGCCTGAATAAACATAATAATAATAATAATAATAATAATAATAATAATAATAATAATAATAATAACTGTCTACGTCACAATAAAAGTACACTTTGAAACACCGTTTTCCGAGTGATTTTTATTATTATTATTATGTCGACTGTTAAACTGTTCCGGAAATCATTGTTTAACTTCTAACCACATGTCCGTCATGATAAGACCAGAGTAGCCTGACCTGACTAACTTGTAATAGGATCGCATTATAATGAAGATATGCCTTACTGTTCTTCGAAAATATAGGTTACCATGCATACACTATATCTGTCCAAAGATCAGGTATGTGTTCTGTTAACTTAACAAGGCGTTTAATTAGATATTAGACGCGTTATTTATCAGAGACGTATATAACACGTGTTATATATGTCTCTGTATTTATTCATAACCTATTTTTAAAAACACAAATTAGGATTCAAGTGATAAAAAAACTTATTTAAAAAAAAATATTTTCAGACATGTGCAATCCTTGATGAAGTATCTATACAGTACCAGTTTTTATATTATAGTTATTGTAGATACATGCATGTTCCTGTAATTGTTTTCCTCGTGAATGTCGAGGACGGCTGATAAGTTGTAAAAACTTGTTCCTAATCCCTTGTGATTAGGATAACAATAAATATATTTAGATATAATTGGAATCGATTATCACACCTAAGACTCCTATTCGAGTCACTCGACAGGAATATGTATTTTCCCTGGTCTTTCACACCAAATCAAAAGGGTTGATTACAAGTGAATTGGTAGATATATGTTATTCGGGACGATCAGAAACAGATACCTAGGACAGCAGTGTAAGCCTTTTACAGACAGTTGTGTAATAGACAATGTTTACTTCCCACATCATACTGTCAGATGATACATCGCCGTCTTCTTCATCATCATACAGTAAACATCATCATCATCATACAGTCAACATCATCATCATCATACAGTCAACATCATCATCATCATACAGTCAACATCATCATCATACAGTCAACATCATCATCATCATACAGTCAACATCATCATCATACAGTCAACATCATCATCATCATACAGTCAACATCATCATCATACAGTCAACATCATCATCATCATACAGTCAACATCATCATCATACAGTCAACATCATCATCATCATACAGTCAACATCATCATCATCATCATACAGTAAACATCATCATCATCATACAGTCAACATCATCATTATACAGTCAACATCATCATCATCATACAGTCAACATCATCATTATACAGTCAACATCATCATCATACAGTCAACATCATCATCATCATACAGTCAACATCATCATCATACAGTCAACATCATCATCCAGTCAACATCATCATCATCATACAGTCAACATCATCATCATACATTCAACATCATCATCATCATACAGTCAACATCATCATTATACAGTCAACATCATCATCATCATACAGTCAACATCATCATCATACAGTCAACATCATCATCATACAGTCAACATCATCATCATCATACAGTCAACATCATCATCATACAGTCAACATCATCATCATCATACAGTCAACATCATCATCATACAGTCAACATCATCATCATACAGTCAACATCATCATACAGTCAACAACATCATCATCATACAGTCAACATCATCATCATACAGTCAACATCATCATCATACAGTCAACATCATCATCATCATACAGTCAACATCATCATCATACAGTCAACATCATCATCATACAGTCAACATCATCATACAGTCAACAACATCATCATCATACAGTCAACATCATCATCATACAGTCAACATCATCATCATACAGTCAACATCATCATCATCATACAGTAAACATCATCATCATCATACAGTCAACATCATCATCATCATACAGTCAACATCATCATCATACAGTCAACATCATCATCATCATACAGTAAACATCATCATCATCATACAGTCAACATCATCATCATCATACAGTCAACATCATCATCATCATACAGTCAACATCATCATCATCATACAGTCAACATCATCATTCAACATCATCATCATCATACAGTCAACATCATCATCATACAGTCAACATCATCATCATCATACAGTCAACATCATCATCATCATACAGTCAACATCATCATCATCATACAGTCAACATCATCATCATCATACAGTCAACATCATCATCATCATACAGTCAACATCATCATCATACAGTCAACATCATCATCATACAGTCAACATCATCATCATCATACAGTCAACATCATCATCATCATACAGTCATCATCATCATCATCATACAGTCAACATCATCATCATCATCATACAGTCAACATCATCATCATACAGTCAACATCATCATCATCATACAGTCAACATCATCATCATACAGTCAACATCATCATCATACAGTCAACATCATCATCATACAGTCAACATCATCATCATACAGTCAACATCATCATCATCAGTCAACATCATCATCATCAACATCATCATCATACATCAACATCATCATCATACAGTCAACATCATCATCATACATTCAACATCATCATCATCATACAGTCAACATCATCATCATACAGTCAACATCATCATCATCATACAGTCAACATCATCATCATACAGTCAACATCATCATCATACAGTCAACATCATCATCATCATACAGTCAACATCATCATCATCACAGTCAACATCATCATCATCATACAGTCAACATCATCATCATACATCAACAACATCATCATACATTCAACATCATCATTACAGTCAACATCATCATCATCATACAGTAAACAACATCATCATCATACATTCAACATCATCATCATCATACAGTCAACATCATCATCATACAGTCAACATCATCATTATACAGTCAACATCATCATCATCATACAGTCAACATCATCATCATACATTCAACATCATCATACAGAAAACATCATCATCATACAGTCAACATCATCATCATCATACAGTCAACATCATCATCATACAGTCAACATCATCATCATACAGTCAACATCATCATTATACAGTCAACATCATCATCATCATACAGTCAACATCATCATCATACATTCAACATCATCATCATCATACAGTCAACATCATCATCATACAGTCAACATCATCATCATACAGTCAACATCATCATCATACAGTCAACATTATCATCATACAGGCAACATCATCGTCATCATACAGTCAACATCATCATCATACAGTCAACATCATCATCATCATACAGTCAACATCATCATCATACAGTCAACATCATCATCATCATACAGTCAACATCATCATCATCATACTCATACTACCGTTATTGCTCATCTAAACAAAAAGTTTACGAATTGCTGTCACATCACAAGTCTCGTAACCTTTTAACTGATCATGACTTTTGAAATAAAAACAACAAAAACATACATAGATCACGTATACAGTATTTGCTAAGGCCCGAAACAATTAAAACCACCACCATTATCCCTCGTGGCCATTTTAGCATTGTGTGGATATTAACAAGATCTACTGAGGAGTTCACGAGGTGTATTTACTACAAAACTGTAGCTTACATTGTGCTATGGATGTCTACACGAAAAGATGTGTCTATTTCTCCATTGACAGACACGTGTGTCTAAATGCAACAGTTCCGTAAACCATGGTTTGAAATTGATCTTACGACGTTACGTGTTAAGGCTTAGAGATTTGATCTGATATATATTAGGTAGGACATTCAAATATACTGGGCATCGATTATTCTACAAAATTAATGAATGTCGTTTGAAAATTATCTGCAATTCTTAGTCGTGAATGTGCGCGCGCTATTTGTTTCGTTTATATAAATCGTGATATTTTACCGCACTGTTATAAATGAATACTAATCAGAAAATGACGTAAAAGAAGAAACTCCAGGTATACCGACAACTAGCCATGTCATACTTACTTCACCCGAGAATCCATCCTACATAATCTGATCCTGTGTCTGATGGTGGTGTACAGGACCCCCATATGGTACTACCCTTTGTT